ATGTCAGACCCATTCTACAACAGTGGCACCATGCAGTATTTGTCCCTTTGTGACTGAGATATTTCACTCAGCATAATGTCCTCCAGGGTCACCCACTTTGAATAATATTGCATGAGTTCCTTGTTTTTCAATGCTGTGTAGTATTCCATTGTGTGGATATACCACAGCTTTGTTTGTTGATGGGCCCTTAGGCTGCTTCCAACTCTTTGCTATTGTAAACAAAGCTACAATAAACATGGGTGTGAGTTTTTAACTTTATTAATGCTACCTTTAACAAAGTTGAGAGATTCTCTGTAGCCCTGCACTTGTATAGTACAGCCTTCTCTCCCCTCTCCCACCTGGTTTAGTTTCTTTCCCCCTCAACTTCTGCAAACAGGGTTCTCCTTAGGGGCAAGTCTGGTAAAACTTTGTTTTATATACTTTGGGCAAGTATCATAAGAGGAGGGGCTAGCCCTCGGAAAAAAAAACAGAATGCTGGGAACTTTGGAGGATTTGAGGAAGACCCTTAAGGACAAGGATTGACACATTGACTGCAATAATGGGTTTGAGCATAGGGCAAAGTTCCAAATTCTTGTTTACAGGTTCATTCAAAAGAGCTCTGACCGCTTGGTGGAGTTGCACTGCCAATCAAAGGCAAGCAATTCCACAAAAGCCTTCGTGGGAGACAGGCAATCTCCTGTGCAATTTACAGCCTCAGGAAACCCACTGGAGGGTCACCTATGAGTAGGTTCCCACTCATGGCAATATGTGTTAAGTACGTTTTGAGAAGAGGTTGTTGACTACACGGTCAATGATTTAATCTTATTTGGATTCACAATCCCTTCATATCAGGAGATAAGTACTGCTTTGGGCAAGTCCGCTGTCTGGGACCTCTCCAGCATACTGAAGAGCAATGACGACAGTTTGAAGACTAAGACGCGCTTGACTCAGACTATGGTTTTTCGAATTATGTGCTAAACTTCTGAGAACTGGACAGTGAATAAGGATGATAGAGATTAATTGATGCCTTTGAATTGTGGTGTTGGAGAAGAGTACTGAAGATCCCATGGACTGCCAAAAGAACAAACAGATGTCTTGAAAAGGGTGCACCCATAATGCTCCTTGGAAGCAAGGATGGCAAAGCTTTGTTTCACATATTTTGGACATGTTATTAGTAATTATTTCTTGGAAAGGGGCAGCATGCTTGGAAAGATCAGTGAGTACACTACCCTATTGGAAAAGCCAGAAATTAATATCGCTGCTCCTCCTTTTTTCTGGTTGCTGTTTGCTTGGTATATTTCCCCCATCCTTTCCTTTTTAGCCTGTCTTTATCTTCATTTTTCAGGTGTGTCTCTTGTAGACAATATATTGATGGATTTTGCTTTTTTTATCCAATCTGCTATTCTTTTTTCTCTTCAGCGGTGCACTTAAACCATTCACGTTCAGTGTGACTATTGAGAGGCTAGGTTTTATTGATATCATTGTGTTGAGTTCTTTTTGGTGTTGTTGCTAGTTACTTTGGACCATGCAGCTTTCTGTGGTATGTCTGTAAAAAGGGCGGTTGGAAGGGGAGAAAAGTGCAACAATGAATGAAGGGAAATCCAAAGTCTCTGTAAATTTTTACTGAAATTAATAATAAATTTAAATAAAATTTAAAAAAAAAGGTCAGCGAGTGAGAGAAAGACCTTCAATGAGATGGATTGACACAGTAGCTGCAGCAATGGGCTCAAGTGTGTCGGAGATGCTAGGGATGGGACAGTCTAGGACAGGGTTCAGGTGTAGTGTTCACAGATTGCACTTGACTCTATACAGTACCTAAATCAACCCCTGGTTGGCTAACCTCGCCTTCCCAGCAGCGCTAACCAATGGCAGCGGGCGGAGCCGCGGATGACGTAATCACGTAGAAGAGGGGCGGGCCTCGCTTCCGGCCTGCTCTTCTCCGAGGAGACCTCACGGCTGGCTGAGAACAACACGCTCGGAGCCTCCTGACTCGCCGCCTCCGCCTCCAGCGTCACCATGGGGGCTGTGCTGGGCGTCTTCTCCCTCGCCAGCTGGGTGAGTTCTGGGGTCTGCTGTCCTAGGAAGGGCGATCGGGAGCCCCAAGCTGAACTCTGAAAGGGCCTCGGTCCCTGAAGCTTGGAGAGGCCTAGACCCTGGGCTGTAGCGGGGTCTTGGGGGTTTCAGGCCCCAGCCCGCGATGCCCCCAGACCCCGATCGAGGGCCTCGTGGTCCGAGTTGGTTGTGGGGGGAGGTACAGGAAGCGAGGCAGCCTTTGTTTACAGTTCCCGTTGCCCCGCCCCCGCGGGTCCTTCCGGTGCTGGCTTCCCCTCGAGCTGGAATTCAGGACCCAGGACCCGGGAAGGAGACCCCGCAGCCGGGGCTCGCTCGGCCTGATTGAAGCATCTTCTTCCTCTTCTTTAAGCATCTTCCTATGGTGGTGTCATGAAATCCTTTAATGTCTTGAATGATGTTTGCTCCGTAGCACGGAACTTTGCTAAAGACTATTTGACAGAGGTTGAGATTCCAACCCAGGCCTTTCTTTGTAATGCAAGGGAAAGGAGGCCTCGTGGATTATGATCGAAAATCGGAAGATGTGGTTGGGAAATTTGGGGGCCTTGTGCAGATCTCTGAACTTGGGCTCCCTATTGTGGTTGTTGTTGGGGCCCGTCGAGTCGAGTACGACCCATAACGACCCTATGAAACCTCCTGGCCTGGCCTGTGCCATTCGCACCCTCCCTGACACTTGGGCGCCCTGAAATGGGTGAGAATTCCGCCACGATTCCTGTTGTCGAGATAAAGGGAACGAACTGATTGGGTAGCATTGAAAATTGCGAACCTCATGTTTTTGAAGGAAATTTGTGGGATCTGCTCTTACTAGAGAGTATGCCGAGATTTTAGAAGCGCTTGGTGCCTTGACTTCTCCAGTTTCCTAATTTTCCGATTTATTGATTGACCAATGACTCATTCCACTGTTCCATCTTGCGGATAAAGTATCTTTCATGTCCTTTAAAATTGTAAATCGTAGTCCAAGAGGACAAACGGTTCTACAGATCAATTAGAAGGTTATTTGGAAACACACTGGCTTTTTAATTTTCTTAATGAAGGCCCAGTCATCTGATAAACCCAAGTAGTCACAAAAGTTGTGTAGTAATTCTTATCATCCTGATATCCTTATCATCCGCTGGAGCTCTGGGGGCCTAGTGACTGTCTGAGCTGTCATCCAGAAGGCACGTGGCCACCAGCTGCTTCTTGAGGAAGGACAGGCAGACTCCTCCCTTGTGATTAACTTCTTCTGAAAACCCGCTGTAGGGTCAGCTATGAGTGGGTTCCGACTCTGTAGTCCCCAGCAACACCAGTCATCTGCTGTGTGGTTTTTCTTTCATGAAACAAAATCCAACTCAATTGTTTTTTGCAACTCACAAGTGAATAGAATCCATGGTTTTAAAAATACTTAGAAGGCCATGCACATCCCAAAACTTCTCCAACAGGGTAAAAAGGGAAGCCCCAGACTGGGAAAAAGTATTTGGTAATGACATGTCTGATAAGGGACTTATATCCAGAATTTATAAAATACTTGAGCACCACAGCAAGATAAAGGTAAATAATCCAGTAGAAAAATGGGCGCAGGATATGAACAGACACTTCACTGAAGAAGACATTCAGATGGCTAACAAGCATATGAAGAAATGTTCAAAATCCCTACCTCTAACTATGAGATATCATCCCACCCCAGTCAGAATAACAAAATTTAACAGAATAACAAGCAACAAATGCTGGCAAAGTTGTGGAGAAACTGGAACCCTTATTCACTGTTGGTGGAAATGTAAAATGGTGCAATCACTGTGGAAGGCGGTATTGTGCTTTCTCAAAAAGTTGCAAATAGAGATACCTTTTGACCCAACAATTCCACTACTGGGATATACCCCAAAGAGACCATAACTGACATCTAAGCAGATATATGCATACCCATGTTTATTGCGGCTTTGTTCACAATAGCAAGGACTTGGAAAAAAAACCTAAGTGCCCATCAACAAATGAATGGATAGAGAAGCTGTAGTATATTCACACAATGGAATACTATGCTGCATTGAAAAACAAGGAACTCATGCACTATTATTAAAAATGGGTGACCCTGAAGGACATTATGCTGAGTGAAGTATCTCAGTCACAAAAGGACAAATACTGCATGTTGCCACAGTTGTAAAACAGGACTGACCTCAGGGCTGGGGGAGACTGAGAAAGGTGGGTTCAATAATGTATATTACATTGAAACAGATGAGGGAGAAAACTGCTTAGAAGGGATATGTGATTAGGTATTTTTGTCATGACAGGAGTCCATAGCGAAGGCTCCATAGTGGAGTGGACCCGGGGGATTGTAAAACAATGAAAAAATTTTTCTTTTACTTTTCCAAGAGGGAGGGTAGTGTACTGCGGGGGAGGGTTGGGAGGGGAGAAAAGTGCAACAAACAATGAATGAATGGAAATCCAAAATCTCTGTAAATTTTCATTGACATTAATAATAAATTTAAAAAGAAAAAATACTTAGAAGGCTATTAATTAAGGGATGAATTGGTAATTTGAAAAGAATTTATTGTTGCTATCTTGATAATCCAGCTATCTTGATATTTTCCTGTTCAATACACTGTGAATGCAGTGAAAAGGCCATACCGGCTCAGATTGAGAAAATAGACAGTTTTATTGTACATCCTATTCAGTTAGTAAATATTCAGTACCTTTTAGGGAGCTCTAGTGGCCTAGTTCAGTCAACTGATTCTTTTTGGTACAGTGATTCTTTGTATTCCTTCTGTCTTTTGATGCTTCCTGGATCATTCAAGATTGTGCCCATAGCATCTCTCAGTATTACAACTCAAGGCTTGAATTTGTTTTTCAGTTCTTTCAGCTTGAGAAATGCCAAATGAGTTCTTCCTTTTTATTGTCTGGCTCCCCCTCTTTGCACATTTCATTATAATAAGGTATGCTTGATTCAGGCCCTGGTCTTCTCAATCACCTGCTGTGCATCAGAGAGCTGGATAATGAGTAAGGATTACAGAAGAATTGATGCCTTTAAGTTGTGGTGCTGGAGAAGAAAATACTGAATCCCCTGCACTGCCAAAAGAACAAACAGATATGTCTTGGGAAAAGTGCTCCTTGGAGCCTGTGTGCTTCTTGGGAGGCAAAGGTGGCAAAGTTTCATCTTTCATACTTTGGATATGTTCACATCCACCAGCAGCTCCATAGGGCGATCTCCTCTTATGTGATCGACAGCCTTGGAAACCCACCAAAGAGTCAGCTGTGAGTTGCTTCTGCCTTGACAGCAGTGTGACAGATTAGGGGCTCTCTGGAAGACCTGGTGGTGCAATTGTTAAAGCAGTCAGCTGTTAACTAAAAGGTTGTCAGGTTATACCAGTGACTGCTTGCCAGAGGAAGATGTGGCATTGTACTTCTATAAAGGTTTGCAGCCTTGGAAACTCTGGGGCATTTCTGCCCTGGCCTGGAGAGACAGTGTGAGTCAGGATAGACTTGACTGTAGTGGATTGGGCTGTTGCATAGCTAATTTTGTTGCTACCAAAAGGCTACGGCTCTCTGGCAGTTCAAATCCACCTGCAGCTCATCAGGAGCTAGATAGGCAGTCTCTTCTTGATGTTAACATTTACTGAGGGGTTGGTCTGAGTGGGAATCAACTTGACCTTGACTTGGTTTGATTTTTTTTTGTTTTGTTTTTATTTTACTTTGCATTTTGAGATACCGCTATTCTAGGCCCCAGGAATACTCAACCAGATAAAAAGATCCCTTTGCTGTGGTTGGATAAAGCAGACAAAAAAAAATAAACTCTGCTAGAAATAAGTGCTAAGGTGAAAAGTAAATCAGGAAAGGCAAATAGACATGTCAGGGTGTGGAGAGGTTGGCAAGTTTGGATAGGGTGACCATGGAAGGTGACAGACTTGTTTGAGTAAAGGAAGTGACAACATGAGCTTTGATAATACGTCGGGCAGTGATGTCGTAGGCAGAAAGCCCAGCAGCCCAGAGATGAGAGCATACTTATTTTGTTGAATGGAAAGTTCAGTGCACCAGGGCAGAATGAATTGGGGGTGGGGTGAGGACAAGACATGAGTCATCGCTGTAGGAGAGAGCTAGATTATATTGACAGCTTTCTTAGGGCCTTCGAGGTGATTTTAAGTGACATAGGAATCTGTTGCAGATTTTGGAACAAGAATGATGTGATCTTTTAACACGATGTGTTCTAGTGCTGTATGGAGAATGTTTCATGTACCATCAAGTCAGAACCGACCTATGAAGTCAGACTCTCCTGCTGGAACTGCTCCACAGCACGTTTTCAGAGGCAGTAGATCCCATAGTGGGGAGGGGAATTGTCTTGTCTTTCTCCTGCAGAGCAGTTGGTGGATTTGAACTGCATGCCTTTGCGTTGGCAGCACAGTTTCTTACCACCAAGCCACCAGAGCTTGTGGTAAAAAGGGAAGGGTGAAGCAGAGATTATTAAGAGTTGTATTTAAGCCAAGTGAGAGGTAATAAAGTGGCTTGATTGTGGATCTATTTTGAGGCTAAAGCATATTTGCTGGCAGATTGGATGAGAGGTTTGGGAAAAAAGGCAGCAAGGATGACTTCAGTGGAGTGGCTGATGGATTGAAACCACCAGTGAGAGACTGCTGGCTCTTAGATGACCTCTGTCTCAACAACAGGAAGATGAGAATTGTCAAGATAAGGAAGTTACATACCATGTATAAGGATACGTGGTAAATACCAAGTACCTGTTACATGTACTCAGCCCGTCTAGGTATTTATATTTGCATGAGGTCTAGACACGAGAAAAGAACTGTAAGGAGATTATGGGAATTGTACAATAAAGGTCTTTTGGCCCAGATTACTTTTGTCATAACAAATAATTATGACTGCCACCACATAGTGATCCTCTGCTGTGTTTGGCATTTCCTAGGGGCGCTTTACATTCCTAACAGGGACCTTTGGGGGCTTCATCCATAGGAAGTTATATTGCAAACCTACAAGTGAATCTGCCAGTGCCTCTGAGGAAAAAGATGTGCCATCTCCTCCCATGTAATTTACAGCCTTATGAAAATCCACTGGAGGGTCAGCTGTGAGTTGGTTCTTACTGAAGACCTCATTGAGTTGCTGCTTACTATTTGATAACATCTAATTTTTCACACGAACCTGTTGGGTAGGTAGTTACTATGATGCTGTTTTTACAGTTTGGGAAAATTTAGCCTTTAGGAAGTTAAGAATCTTGTCCCACATGCCAAAAAACCATTGTAAACCACAGCCTGGGATTACTGAGAACTAGGCTTTAAGACCAGTCTAAAGGGGAGCTCTGGTGGCCTAGTGGTAAGGAGCTGCAACTACAATCCCAGAGGTGCACGGTTCGAATCCACCAGATGCTCTGCCGGGGAAGGAGGGACAATCTCCTCCTGTACCAGTCAGATCTGATTTGACGGTACACTCACACAAAAATAAAAAAAATTAAAAAAAAAAAAAAGACCAGTCTGCCCCATTGTTTACATCTGCTGCCTCTGGTGATGATCTTGAATTCACTTACCTTTATGACTTTAGAGCTTACCTGTCAAAGCCACTAAAGTATTTTCTTACTGATATAAAAGAGATTCTGCTTAGACTCTGCTTACGTCATCCCTCATCTGGAGTGCTCAGTAACAGTCTTAAGTTGACCAGTGATCCATCTACTATTGCTTATAAGGGGGTTCACATGTATTACTGTTTTATACTGCAAGCTTTAGTAAAGCTTTGACAAAGCTTCATCTCACATACTTTGGGCATATTGTTAGGAGACTCTATTCTTTGGAGAGGGACATCAGTCTTGAAAAGTGAGGCAGACCCTTAACAAGGTGGAGGTTGTATATCAGAAATGATGCCGATGGCACAGGATAGGACAGGGTTCAGATCTGTGGTTCATAGGTTGCCATGAGTGGTGTTTGACTTGACAGCACCTAGCAACAACAACAACTTAAGCTTTAGTAAATTTGTGTCCTCAATAAACAGGAAGTAGAGTTGGATTTCCATTTTTCTAAATATTTAAATGTCCTGTTGTTGTAAAACAAAAATCCTGTGTGCATGGATATAACTAATATTTATCGAATCACATTTTATTTCATACATTGTTAAGTGCTCTTTATTTTTAAGTGCTCTTTTAATACAGTAGCATCTTAGGGAGGAAGAGTCTTTTTTTTTTCTATAATTATATTTTATTAATTTTCATAAACATTTACAGAGATTTTGGGCTTCCACTCATTCATTGTTGCACTATTCTCTCTACCCTCCTCCCAGTTTGTTCTTGTCCAAATGCCACAGTGCTTGTCAAAGCCAGTTCTGATTAATCTTCTTTGTCAGTGTATCCTTTGCCATTCCCTATCACTCCTCCCTGAGAGAGACTTCACCCTGAGTCATAAGGAAAAGGGGACGGCGTATTCTCTTAGCTACTTCCTGCTGAAAAGGGACGCTGTGGGTTTCAGGGTGAAGATCTTCTCTCACTACTCTAAAGGGCCCCTTTGGTAGTAGGAAACACATAGACTATTATGGAGATTGATTTTGGAATTCAGATGCACTCTTATTGATTGTGCTTGGCTGTACATGTACATATCCTTCAAGATGTATCATGGGGGTGTTGCAACCTAGAAGACACAAATTTGACTAACAAGTTATAAGTACATGAGTCCAAAAATTATGGAAAAGTAAAAGAAAAGATTCTTTCATTGTTTTACAAACCCTCCCCCAGGTCCCCTCCACCATGCAGCCCTCGCTCTAGTCTCCTGTGATGACAGAAATACCCAGTTACATCTCTCTTTTAGACGGTTCTCTCCCTCCTCTGCTTCAGTGCAGTATACATTATTGAACCCATCTTACTCAGTGTCTCCCCAACCCCAAGGACAGTCCCATTCTACAACAGTGGCATCATGTAATATTTGTCCTTTTGTGACTGGGATATTTCACTCAGCATAATGTTCTCCAGAGTCAACCATTTTGAATAATATTGCATGAGTTCCTTGTTTTTTAATGCAGCGTAGTATTCCATTGTGCGAATATACCACAGCTTCTCTAGCCATTCGTTTGTTGATAGGCACTTAGGTTGTTTCCAACTCCTTGCTATTGTGAACAAAGCTGCAATAAACATGGGTGTGCATATATCTGCTTGGATGTCAGCTATGGTCTCTTCAGGGTATATTCCCAGTAGTGGAATTGCTGGGTCAAATGGTATCTCTATTTGCAACTTTTTGAGAAAGCGCCATACTGCTTTCCACAGGGGTTGCACCATTTTACACTCCCACCAACAGTGAATCAGGGTTCCAGTTTCTCCACAACCTCGCCAGCATTTGTTGCTTGCTGTTCTGTTAAATTTTGCTATTTTGACTGGGGTGAAATGATATCTCATAGTTGTTTTAATTTGCATCTCTCTTAGGGCTAGGGATTTTGAGCATTTCTTCATGTGTTTGTTAGTCATCTGAATGTCGTCTTCGGTGAAGTGCCTGTTCATATCCTGTGCCCATTTTTCTATTGGATTATTTACAGGAAGAGTCTTTTGTTGTGTCTTTTTTTGAAAATGGAGAAATAGGGGGTTTTGCCCTCAATTTTTTTTATTAATTTTAACGAAAATTCATAGACATTTTGGATTTCCATTCATTCATTGTTGCACTTTTCTCCCTGCCCACCCCTCCTCCCCGAAATAGGTTTTGATTATAGAAGTTGCTGGGGTAAAAGGCCACAAGTCATACTGAACCCAGGCCTGACTCCCAAAATTTTTAATCACTTCTACCTTTGTCCCCTGCCCCCAGTTACATTCTCTGAGTTTTAACTGGTCAAAATCTAGTTTAAAATGTAAGTTTCTATTACTTTATCCTGAATTTCTACCATGTCTGTGTCGTGAAAGCGTCTGTTGAAGGAAATCTTTATCATCAGTGGTTTCTTCCTTGCAGGTTCCATGCCTCTGCAGCGGTGCGTCATGCTTACTCTGTGGTTGTTGCCCCAGCGCTAAGAATTCTACTCTGACGCGCCTGGTCTACGCCTTCATCCTCCTCCTGGGCACGATCGTGTCCTGTATCATGCTGACGGATGAGATGGAAACGCAGCTCAAGAAGGTAAGCAGACACAGCAGTAACTTTAATTTACTGGTTATTTTTACCTTTTGGACAATTTGATTTCTCTAGTTGATGTTCTTACTGATTTCTTGACACTAGAAGACTCAGTCAAGTTCAACATCATTGTTGGAGTTTTATGTTATTTCTGAACATTGCAAAAATGCAGAGAATGAAAATACTAATCTTATTCCACAAATAGAGGTAGTAAGTATGAACATCTTCACGTTCTAACCTAATAGTTGAGAAAAAACATTGAAAGAATGGCCCCAAAACATTAGCTTTTTGATATGTTTTAAATTTAATAGCTAGGCTGAACTAGCCACTTTCCTTTACAAAGAGATAGCTGTCGCAGGCAGATCCCAGATAAACAAATTGTGGAAGTGACCTAGTCTGTAAATCCAGGCTTGTTTATAGTGGAATAGATTCTGTGTTTGAATATGGATCATTTCATAGCATTGAAATTGCTTTTCTCAGATTCCTGGATTCTGTAGAGGGGGATTTAAAATCAAGATGCCCGATAACAAGGACGATTGCGATGTGCTGGTCCGTTATAAAGCTGTGTATCGCATCAACTTTGCCTTGGCCATTTTTTTCTTTGCCTTCTTTCTGTTCATGTTCAACGTGAAAACGAGTAAAGATCCTAGAGCTGCAATACACAATGGGTATGTAAGGTTTTTTTTTCCATTAACTTTTTATGTTACAGTCTGGATTTTCTTTAGCAGTTAATGTTACCCTCTCCCTGGAAACAGTGGACGAGATAAATCAGTGACTTGGAATTATTTCACATGTGAAATTGTTTCAATGCCATTTCTAGTTACCGTAACACTGTGCAGGAGCAGCCTGGGAAGACCTCTGTTTTTCATAGGAAATATCATTGGTTTTCATGTTCCTAAATTTTTGTTGACTAATTATCACTCACTTTGCTGACTACTTTCTATGTATCTGTTTGTGAATACTATGTTTACGTAAGTGCATACTTCCGCTTCTGTGTGTATATATTCTTTGTTGTTTTAATAGAATCATACACCTTTTAAAAAAACTTTATTGCGTTACAGAGCTAATTGATTCTCCATTTAGCAGTTTCATGCCATTGACCATCATTCTCAGTGCAGCAGCCCTCTTCTCACTTCCTCCCCATGTTCAGCCATTTCTTTTACTTTGCTACTTACTAACATATTTTTACTTCTTTTACTTTCCTTTTGCTCTTGTATGGTTACTTGTTCTAAGGAGTTTTCTAAGTGTTCTAAGGAGTTGTTATTCATGCTGGCTGCAGGCCTGACCATTGTTTGGCTCAAAATCAAACCCCAGGGGTGAGCTCAGTCCCATGCTGAGATTTAAGGCCTTGGTGTTTGGCGGTTAAAGGCCACAGTGTTGAGTGCTCTAGCATTCTCAACCAAGTTAGTCAGCCTGGTCTCTTTTTTTTTAATGATTGTATTAATTTTCCCACCCTATCCAGTGCCCTCTGTTGTGATCATTTTCAGAGCGGTCAGCATTGGTGACCAGGCACCATTTCGTCCTCTTGGTCTCCAGGTTGTGGAGGTTGAGGGCATGTGGCCCGTTAGCCCTGAGAAGCCAGACAGACTATTTTAAACCCTGTGTAGTAAATTTTTGCCCCCGCAGCCTTCGTGTTTTGTCTTGAGCTGCTTCCCAGCACAGTAACTGCTATTGTCTGTAGATATTTGCACTCCACGTACACTTGAAATGTTTCAACAGCAAAATGCTGTCTGTGTATCTCTGTGCCCTTGAAGTGTTCCAAAGGCAGACTGCACCTGGGATGAGCAAGAATATAAAAAACTTCCTGACAGACATCAGAGGAGAGGATCCTGCCTCATTGCTGGGACCCTTCTGCTGCTCAGCTAATAAAGGCCCTTGCCTGTAATCCTGCGGTGTGTCTCTGGATTCGTTAGACACAACAGCACTTTGAACTAGCGACTGTGTCATCTTACTCGTAGATGTGAGGAGCCCAATGGTCATGCGTTAGACAGCTGCTCCAAAGCTTTTTAGAGCCCAGTCACTACTCACAGAGGAAGATGTAGAACATTGTCTCTGTGGATTATATTGGCTGGCTGTGTGTGTCTCCTAAGATTGTGGTCCTAAGGCCTCTTGACCCAGCATCTCCTTCCCTCAGGGTGTTTGATTATGGCTGTGAAGCTCATGTAACTTTGCCTACCGTTTGCTGTGTATGTGGATGTGTTTACAGTATATGTAGACATAGCACTTGCCAAATGGTTGTTAAATGGACTAATTCAAATAGATGAGTGTCTTTCCCTGACTGTATGTGTTCATCTTGCCTATCTCCTGATGTGTCTGCGTCTGCATTAATACTTGATCTTTCTTATTACTGGTGGTGCACGTTGGATATGTGGTTGTATTTCCTTTTGTTGTTTGTGACTGAGAATACCTCTCCATGTCTTTTTCTTTCTTGATACTGTCTCGATCACCCCCTTAATAGATACTATCTTTACCTTCACTGGACTTGTGGACTTGTGTCTCTTAATGATTTTCTCTCAGGATCCCTCGTTTCTAATCCCTTGTAACCATTGAAGAATAGTAAACATACACTTGATGTCTTTTAAACAGTATACGAAAATTAACAGTGACTGTATCTCAATCACTGACTTACGTATATCTTTGCTTCTCACTCATGCCTCACCTGTTTCCCGTTTACACATATATCTAGTTCCCATTAGAAGATTGAAATTCCAGTTTCAGTGACTGAATTTCGGAGAGTTTGATTGTATTGCCTGAGATTGGTCAGCTAGTAAGGGCTGGAGCTGGGATTGAAATTCAGATCTCTCCACAGCCTGTTTCCTTCCTCTCTGGCATGTAAGGCTGTTGGTAAGGATGGCCTGAAAACTGGGTTGGTTTTGTTTGGACCATCGTCTCCTTCTTGAAAAAGAAAGATGGGGTGATACTCGTCCCCCAGCCCGTGATCTAATAATTTTATCAGTATGTAGTTAAATCTGTTTTAAGAGTTTAGAGCTCCCCAGGATTCTAAGCCATGAGGAGAATCTTATCTCTACACTCTAAAGTAAGAAGATAGCAAACAGTTAAAATTTTTGTTTTTTATGAAAATGATTCTTTGAAAACCTTCACTCAAATCACTGTTTAAAAAATGGTTAATAAATACAAAGAAAGCAGTTTCTTTTTTGTGTTAATGTTCCATCCTTAAATTGTGTGAAAATGAGTAGGACCATGTCAAATGAAGAACTAAACCTAATGTTGGTAAAGCTAGGCTTTTTATTTTTGTATTTCAAAAACACATTTTTCTATTTTCATAGGTTTTGGTTCTTCAAAATCGCTGCAATTATTGGCATCATGGTTGGATCTTTCTACATTCCTGGGGGTCCTTTCACCACAGGTACGCTTCCTGTTGAGGGAGTTAATTAGAGGACATACAGACTGCAGATGACTGCATTAACCTGTCCCTTCATTTGTGATCTTGAAGAACTGGGTACTAAATGAGATTCCACTTGATTTTGTGACCTGATTCTAATACTGAGTGATTGATTAAAGCCAGGAAGCTTACATCTCACCTTCTGTTCAGCTTTTCTGTTAATCTGTTACCAGCAGTTTGACAGCACAAGGATTGTGTATTCTACTTTTTTGTTTGTTTGTTTTAAACTCCTTTTTTTTCCAAAAGTGACATCTGGAATTTCTATTGAGATTTTTATTTCTCTGAAGTAAATGAAAATATTTATTATTGAGAATGTCATGTTCTAGGCTCCCCTTGGTACAAGTTAAAACAAATCTTAAAAGGTCTGAAACCCAACAGAACACTTTTCAGAGAATGGTTTTGGAGTTGAAACAATCTTGCATTATTACCAGAGACAGAATACAGACTTATCAGCTCTCATTTGAATTGCAGTCCATTCAGAGTATTGGCCAGTTACATTGTGAGATGTCAGGAATAATTCTGTTCTTTTGGTTTGTAGTCTGGTTTATCATTGGCGTGATTGGGGCCTTCATCTTCATCCTTATCCAGCTGGTGCTGTTGGTGGACATGGCTCACTCTTTGAATGAGACCTGGGTCAATCGAATGGAAGAAGGAAACCCAAGGTTCTGGTATGCTGGTAGGTGTCTGCTTTCGTGCAGGGAGAGGTGGAGGGTCAGAGAAAGAGAGGAAGACTCAACAGGATAGACTGACACAGTAATTGTTGTAATGAGGTGTTGGGTAGAGATCTTGAGAATGGCATGGGAGAGGGTGGGGTGCTGACGTGCTATTCATTGTATGCTATGAGTCGTAGTAGTTGACACAGTGACACATAACAACCGTCTAAACTCACCAGTCATTCTGAGTTATACTGTATTAAACACTGCACAGTACAACTTCTTTTGATTTAATATCCAAACTCCCACTCTTCAAGAGAAAAATTTAAAAGTTAGTTAATTCTGAATTACATGCATAACTAAAAAGGAATAACACAGATAATAGAACTCAATGGAATCTCCCAATTCATTTGTTTTGGGATTTGTAATATAATTGGATGTATTTAGATAATGATTTCATCTCACATGTTTTGGGCATGTTATCAAGCGAGGCCAGTTCCTTCAAAAGGACATCCTGCTTAGAGAAGTCACTCATCTCATCTACTCTCCTCTTAGCTGACCCTTCAGTGGCTTTTCAGAGGCTATAAATCACACGGATGAGATTTTTCCATCTTTCTCCCATGAAATTGCTGGTGGATTTGAACCAGCTGCCTTTGAGCTTGTAGTGTGCAGCCTTTCTCCTCTCTAGGCCACCAGAGCTCCCTGCTCAGAAAAGCATAGGGATGAAAGAATGGAGGCAGCTTGGGAGTGGCCTAGACTGACCTCCCTAACTTCACAATGGGAAAGCCCATCAGCAACACCTATTTCCAAAACCTGTTTCCAAAACCTATTTCCAAGAGGTCACACATGTCCCCACACTCCGGGAGTTCATTCGGTTGCACACCTGCCAGGTTCTCATGGAATCCACTAACCTGTTGCAGTGGCCACAAAGAACTCAAAGAACATAGGATTGTCGGGTTCATTAGGGAAATTAACAGTTTACAATTCAGGTGGCAACAAGATACAGTTTACTCAGTCAAAACAGCTTATTAAGATTGCTCACAAACCTTGGCACCTTCAGCATTTTGGTTTTATTTAGGTCAATTTCAAAGCTTTTTCAGTCCTGCCAATTATGGTGTCTCCCCCCCGAATCCTTCTGCAAGACTTGAGTGAAGGCCCCCAGCTCAGGCTCCATTGGGCCAGTCCTAGATCAGCTGTGTCTCCCTTGTCTGCCAGTCTCCATATCTCTACTGCTGCCACTCCTCTTACCTAGGTCCCAGTCTGATTGGCATAGGAATCTGACCCCAAAGAGCAGATGATGCTGCTTCCTTGCTGGTGGGAGATTGCCATTTTCTGCTATTAAACCTGGCAAGAAGGCTAACAGACCAATCCCATCAGGAGTCATTCACACACCTGGCTTGCGTTTTCCCACCCAGCATGTCGTGGAAGTCAAAGCTAATGGGCTAGGAAAGCTATTCCAGTTGGATCGACTTAGTGACCGTGTTGGTTACACCTCAAAGAGAAAATAGATACCCTCACTGGATTAATAACATAAAGATTTCATTTTACTTGGATCCACTGTCAATATCTGTGAAAGTAGTGGTCAAGAAATCAAGTATTAGGGGAGCTCTGGTGGCCTAGTGGCAAGAGGCTGCACTGCAATCCCAGATGTACACGGTTCAAATCCACCAGATGCTCTGCCGGAGAAGGAGGAGCAATCTCCTCCTGTACCAGTCAGATCTGATTTGACGGTACACGCACACAAAATAAAATTTAAAAAAAAAGAAATCAAGTATTGTGTTACACTGGGCAAATCTACCACAAAAGACTTGGCCAGTTAAAGAGCAGAGGTGGTGTTTTGTGAACTAAGATGCACCTGGCTCGAGCTGTGATGTTTTGCCTCTTGTGTATGTGAAAGCTGGAGGGTGAATAAGGAAAACCAGTGTGAAGAGTTGATGTAGTTAAATGATGGTGTTGATGAAGAAAATGGAATAGACCCTGGACTGCCACAAGAATGACCATAATCCATCTTGAAAGAGTGTAGCCAGATTACTCTTTATAAGATGGTAAGACTTCATTTCACATTCTTAGTCCGTCATATCAGGAAAGACCAGACCTTGGAGAAGGAGATCATTGTTGGTCAGTGAAAAAGTTGACCTTCTGTAAGATGATTTGACACTGTGACTGTGCACCATTGTGTTTAAACATGTCAGAGATAATGACAGTGTGTCGTGTTATACATGAAGTCCATGAGTCAGGACTCCTTGACAGCACCTAACAGCAACAGTGTTGTCACTCAAATGGTTTCTACTGACTATTTCTTTAGACAAAGGATTTTTAAATAATCTTTACCATTATCGTCACGGGTTGAGGATTCTGGAGGTTTTTGGTGTTTTTTTTTTTAAACTTTTGTCTAATACAGAATTTACTTATTTTTCCTTCTTCATTTACTTTGGTTTTCTGTAGTACATGTGAGTAGTATGGAAAATGTGCAACAATGAATGAATAGAAATCCATGTTCTCAATTTAAAAAAAATTTAATAATAATGACTCATGCTTTGGCCGTGCTCTGGTGTAACTATTAGTAGGGAGATCTTGTATATAGAGATGGAAAAACATTGGTGATTATATAGACTGTTTTCCAAGAAAGTTTGTGCTTTGAATTGAAGGTAAGTGAGCTGAGTTCAACATTGTGTGACCGTTTAAGTATACTGCTCCCTGCTGTACTTCGTGTTTTCTCATTTTCAGAGTTTATACAACCAGTGCTTTGTGAATGGAAAGGAACTTCAGCTTAAGTATTTAAAAATAGCACGTGAGCCACTTCCCAACTCAAGAATGTGCTATCGTTGTTTTGTAATGGGAAAATCACTGCAGAGCTTTCAGTGAAAACTGTTTTGAAAATTCACAAATCTCCTGCATTCCTAAGGAAAGCTTATTTATCATGCCTGTCATTCAGCATATAATTGATCTTTGACTCTAGCTGGAATGATCAGATAGCTTGTCTACACAGCTCAGGAAACCAGATTATGTAATCCAGGATGTAGATTCAGTTGCTTGGTCACTTTTGAAATCCAGCATTGAGTCAACTCTTAACACAATCAGATTTCAGCCTTGGGAGCCCTGTAGATAATGCTTTTTTATTTTTAGGTAAAATGAGGGAAACGTGGTCTGTGTTGTAAGATTTTTTTTTCTTTTTTAAAATTTATGCAGGTTTCCCTCTTTCTTTGTTTTACAGTTTTACTGTCTGTTACGAGCTTTTTTTATATCCTGTCCCTCATCGTTGTCGTGATATTCTACATATACTTCACCAAGCCGGACGGCTGCACAGAAAATAAGCTGTTCATCAGCATTAATCTGATACTGTGCATTGCGGTTTCTATCCTATCAATTCATCCAAAAGTTCAGGTAGGTTGTTTTCTTCATTTGTGAGTCCCTTTTCATTAACATTGTCTGGACACCTAGATCATGGAAATGAGTCTCCTGAGTCATTAGCCAAGACATTTTAGGGAAATTAACTTGGAAGGGTTAATTTTAAGGTTTAAGAAGAAAGCGTATGTTCTTGAGTTTCATCCTTTAAACACTATGCTTTTAAAAATAATCTTAAGGGTTTTAGTTATGAAATGAACATCTGGAGATCGTCTCTCCTTTGAAAAATGAGAAAACTGACATCTTGAAGTGTTGGGTCACTAAGCTAGTTAGTGACAGAGCTGAGGTAACCTCTAGGAGACTCTCTTCCGCTTGGGGCCTAGAAGAAACCAAAGCCTTTTGGATGCAGGGAAACTCCAAGTTATCAGAGGTGTTCAGAACTAACTGCTAGTCCATGCTGCTGCTTTCTTAGTTCTTTTGCCAGCAAACTCAGACCACAAGGTTGGTTGTTGACTTTCAGCTGTCAAGCAGAATCCAGAGCCTCTCTGTTGATAAAACTCACTGAGCATCAGGGATGTTCCACCCCTGAGTTTAAAGAGGCAGCCTGGGCAGGACCTGTGGCATTGTTGTCCCTCTGATTCCACAGGAACACCAACCTCGTTCTGGCCTCCTGCAGTCTTCCATCATCACTATCTACACCATGTACCTCACCTGGTCAGCCATGTCCAATGAACCTGGTAAGTAAGGGGAACTCTGCAGCACTTTTATTTGATGAAAAGAAACTGCCTTTTTTGTGGATGCAAAATGAGAGAACAATGTGGAGGGGAAATCCACTTGAATATACAGTGTTCACTATATTTCAGATATTTCACTTTCAAGTTTTATTCCCTTACAGCTGATTCATAGCAGATGTGCCGACATTTACGTAGACTTTATTCCTAGCCTGAGCGTTCAGAGCAGCATTGTTTAACCACTTTGGAGAATTGCTTTCATTGACTTTTGGTGGAGTGGGCACTGGAAAAGCAGCTGAGGCCAGTCTCATTTTGCCGTTATAGTGTTTATTTTCAGTAGGTACTTTATAGACACTTTAAATAAAGGTAAACAGTTAAGAAAGGCTCCTTAATGATGATTTGGGTTTTTTTTTCAGTTGTATTGCTCTATAGCTGTATACAAACATAACTAGAGAGAGACTTCTTATGACCAAAGTCTTTGCACAGCTGTAGAACCATTTACTATTGAAACCACAAAACCAGTGAAATCAAGAACTCTTTTACTTTGATAGAGATTGGAGTTTTTTTCCTTTTTCCTAAAATGGGAGTCATTTATAATACAAATACGTGGTACTGACTACACAAGGTATGGCATGGTTCAGACCTGTTGTTCCTAGGGTCACTATGGCAGCATGGAACAACAGCTACATTTTAGGATCTTTCAAGTACAGTAGAAGTCCCACGTCTCCCATTGTGACTGAATGTTTAAGCTCACCTTGTTCGGAACCTTAGAGCTCTAAGAGGGTGATGGTCGTGTCTCATTTTCAGATCGCTCCTGCAACCCGGACCTGCTGCACATCATTACGCGCATCGCTGCACCCACTTTGGCTCCTGGGAATTCCTCTGCTCCGGTGCCAACAGCTGCACCACCAGAAGAGAATGGGCCTTTGCTGGATAAAGAGAATTTCATTGGGCTGTTCATCTTTGTTCTCTGCCTTTTATATTCAAGGTAAGTTATCAGGCACTTGGACAAGATTTTCATAAAGAATCTCAAGCACAGTAAATAATATTTAAACAACTTCAGGATTACCTATCTCGGTTAAAATCTTGAAATCCCAAACCCCAGAGATAAGCAGTGTTACCTATTTATACTCGTAGTGCTTTGGATCTATAGTATAATGTGAGAAGTTTTGTTCTGTAAATGTTAAGTCTTCCAATCCCTAGTTATGGGTTGTCTTTATGTAAGCCATTTGGGGGGATGGGGGCGTGTTCGTTTTTTTTGGTTGGTTGGTTGGTTGGTTTTAAATTTTCTTTTATACTTGTTTACATACAAAGCTCATAAAGTTCACATACATTGTAAGCAGTTGTTAATGCCTTGGAATTTTTATAGTTTCTGGTATATAAGTCATCCTTTTGTTATTTTTCTGAGTATTTTATGCTATGATGTTATTGTAACTGGAACTATTAATTGAATTTATGTATACATTGCTAATGTGTAGAAACATTTGGGGGTTTTTGGTATATTGATCTTGTAGCTAGCAACCTTAATGACCTCCTTTGTTGGTTCTAGCAGTTAATTTGTAGATTCCCTAAGATTTTTCTGTATTCAAGATCAAGTCATCTGCAAATACAGTTTTACTTCTTTTTTTATAATTTTAATTCCTTTTTCTTGCCTGTTTATTCTGGTAAGAGTTTCCAATACAGTGTTGAATAGAAATGTTGAGAGCAGATATTCTTGTCTTGTTCCTGATCTTGAGGGGGAAGCATCCCTTTTTACCATGAAGTCTGATGCTAGATGTGGGGTTTTTATGTTGTTAGGTGCCATCCACTTGACAATGACCCTTAGTGGCTGTCTGAACAGCAGCTCTGGGCCCTTGCTCTGCACTCTTCATGATCGCCAGTGCACCTGCTCATGGTCTTCCTCTCTTCCTCTGACCCTCCACCTTTTCTGGCATGATGTTCTTTTCCAAGGACTAGCCTTTCCTGACATGCCCAAGGTATATGAGACGACAGTTTACCATTTTTGTCTCTAAGAAGCACACTGGTTGAGTTTTCTCTACGACAGACTTGTTTGTCCTTTTGGCAACCCCGGAGATATTCAGTCCTCTCCTCTGAGACACCAGAATTCAAAGGCATCAATTCTTCAATCTTTATTAAATGCCTTTTAGCAAAAGGAGGAAGAGCCTGTTTTTAGTGTTCGTTCTTGTTCTGAATAGTTAACATTTTGTCAGTACATTCTGTCTGCTAGAGATGCATGACATCATTCATTGTTCATTGTTCTTTATTTTTTAAAAAAATTATTTTAATGAAAGTTTACAGAGACTTTGGATTTCTAAGGTCATTGTTCTTAAGGATTTACTTAAAGAGGAGCAGCACGTAGGAAAACACTGTTGAATATGATAAGGGCTTTGGCAGATGGGGACAAATACGGGAGTGGGCTCGGGAGTTCAGTCAGGGGCTCTTAAGCCAGTGTAGGGCCGTCAGGGAAGACTTTTGAGAAGAAGCCTCCTAGTGAATTAAAAGGTGAGTAGGTCACCTGGGAGCAGATTGATCATCACGGCCTCTTTCTGATTGTCGTCTGTGGGGTCATTTTCTAGCATTCGGAATTCCACCAATAGCCAGGTGAACAAGCTGACCTTGTCCGGGAGTGACAGCGTGATCCTCAGTGACACAGCTGCGAACGGTGCCGGCGATGAAGAGGACGGGCAGCTTCGGCGGGCCGTGGACAACGAGAAGGAGGGAGTGCAGTACAACTACTCCTTCTTCCACTTCATGCTCTGCCTGGCCTCCTTGTACATCATGATGACCCTGACGAGCTGGTACAGGTAGGAGATAAGACGGTGGCTGGCAGACCCCTCACCCTCCTGGACTGCCTGGAAAATCCTCATCCGTCCTTGTCTTCATCCAAGAATCTCCTACTCTTGCCCATAGAGGAAAGTCGTGTCCGGTGCTGACTCTTCTAGAATACTTTTGACATCTCCTTTTGCATTAAAAACCCCAGCTGGGATTCTTGCCGTTTAAATCGTGGGGCCTCCACCCAGACTCAAGTAGCCTCAAGTTACTAGAGAGAAGAATCATGACCCAAAGTGACCTGGCCCCCTCTTGCTCACTCATTGTTCTCTTTGTCTAGAGAGGCCCAGCCCTGCCAGTCTTCTGGTCAAAGAAACATAATACAGAGGGATGTTTCAGGAGGGTCACTGCAATGTGGGCACGGGCCAGAAACTGAACAGGAAGGTGTTCCTGGTGAACTTTGCCCAAGGGATAATCAAGTTCTTCAAACTGTCCAGTAGAAGAGAGTTAGATGAGAGCCTGTTGAAGGGTCATGTCCGCAGCCTTTCATGGAAATCTGAAAGCAGCAGTTTCCTACAGACCCTTCTAGAGCCATAATGGGGGGCAGTGCCTGCCAGGCTTCACAGGGTCTCTCTGGGCTACAGCTTGGGGTTGCTGAATGCTGCTCTCAACTCCTTGACCTGTTTTTCTCCTTTTTCTTAGCCCTGATGCGGAGTTCCAGAGCATGACCAGAAAGTGGCCGGCTGTGTGGGTCAAGATCTCCTCGAGCTGGGTCTGCCTCGCTCTCTACGTCTGGACCCTTGTGGCTCCGCTCATCCTCACTGGTCGGGACTTCAGCTGAATCTTCGTGTGCCAGGAGGCCACTGAAATTCATGAAAGTCTCCTTTGCTGAAAGCCTATATCCCCCTTTGTCTTTGCTTCACCTAAAACATTAAGTGAATGCTTTGCAGATTGACTATGTCCTGGTTAATATCAAATGACAAGATTGAGTAATGCTTGATGCAGGATCTTAGCTTTTCACTGATGTGTATATTATGTTCACTTGTAAGGATATAGTGCACAAGGACCATTTTTTGCATTTTAAAGTACAGCTGTGCTGTGAAGAGAATTCTTTATACAAAGACCTGTAGGTTCCTATAACTATGATTTAAAATTTAAGATAAAAATTACTGGATATTTGAGACCATCGTTAATATATTTGTATTGCAATATTCTTAAAAAAGCAAAATAGTAATTAATACATTTATATGATGGTTTTCCACAGGGAAAGCCTGAATTGGTGTGACACACGCCCTCACACCCTCTTTGTTCCCCGCTTACACTCTGAAGGGGTACAGCATCGCTTGAGGGGAAGAGCCCCGTGCGGGCCCTTCCACTGGGGCTGGGGCTGTAGTTGCTGGTGTAGCTGCTGTGTTCACGTTTCTGAATCTTTTTGTTTACTTTTTTCTTTTTATGTTTTTTACACTACCGCATTGATGCTGCTTCATTCCAGTCTGTGGCTTTTCCAGATAGATTAATTTTAAGAAATGCTTTAGAGGTTTGTTTAAAGTGATGATGTGCTGGGAAAATACTGCAGCTTCAGTCTGTAATTCTCTTGTTGTAATTATATAAAAGTGAAATGCATGTGAATTTATTACATTTGCACTATTATAAAGGCATTTGATTAAAATAGAAAGACTTTAAGACCCTTTCTTTAGGAGTTTTTATGATTCAGCAGCCATTCTGTACTTGTTGGATTTTATTGAGAGGCAGATTTAGCAAATACTTTCCAGGACGAGAGAGTCTCATGCTTTCTACACCTTGCAGCTTTGCCTGGTGCATGAACTTCTGCCTCATTCAAAGGTTGAGTAAGTATCTTCTCTGGGAAAGACACTCTGGCTAATGGAAACTGGGAACTGCTAGGAAACTTGTGTGAGGCAACACGCACAGAGGTAGAACACTATCATTTGTTCTTGCAGTTAATGTTTGCTGGGGGTGTCTTCTCTGCCAGGTGCTGTTAGATTCTGGTGATACATCATTAACTATGACAGACATGCACTGCTGTCTTGGAGTTCCAGGTTAGAGGAGGAAATGAGCACTGGCGTGGTTACAGTTTGATTTAGGAATTGCAAAAAGCTCGAAGGAGAGGTGCCTGGTGTATAGCATGATTGGCTTCCTGGAGGAAGTGATGTCAAAGGCACAATAAGTATAAACTGAGAGAAAAATGGGGTAGTGGGAAGGCATTGCCGAAAGGCAGGTGAAGCTGCGAAAGGCAAGGAAATGGAAAAGAGGGAAGTGGAGCTGGACCAGGGTTGAATGACTTTGTAAACCACAGTAAGGTTTGCACCTTTTATCAGGGTCAACAGGAGTATGCTCAGATACAAACAAATACAGGGAATGAATTTAAAGAGTTTAGACGAGGGATAGTCCATGTGGAATCTGAAATAAACAGAAATAAGGATAGGAGAAATTTAGAACTACTTAGTAATAGAATTTAAATGGGCAAGTGATAAAATGGGGAAGAGAGAAGGAAAGTAGGTAATGGGATCATTCTGGCTTAACTCCTTGGGCAAATAGTGGTTCCATTTATTTAAGAGGGAGATGAAGAAAAGGAGCAGGTAGGGCTAGAAGAATGGGTGTTGAGTTCAGAACGGTTAAAATCATAGACTTGAGAGTCAGACTGAAATTGAGTCCCAGGATTGCCGTTGCCTAGCTGTCAAACTGGCCAGCTATACTTTGTGTTTTCTGGACTTTCCCTCTCAGAGCTTCAATGTTATCTTCCTTTGTACAAGATAGTTCTTAGTACAATTGATTGTTTAGAGAGAAAAGTTACTTTACAAAATGCTTGGCCCAGGTTAGGCAGTCAAGACAGTACCTACTCATCTCAATAAGGGCTAGAATGAGAATGGATGGGGTGGGGTATAGAAGTAAGAGGTGTGTTATGTTAGCCCAGATGTGATGGAGACACTGGAGCTGCTCTGTAGAAAAGTGAACAGATGGAACATGGTACGTTCTATAGTTGGGATCGAGGTCACGGTTAGAGAAGCAGGGCTTGAGTTGCTGGGACAATGTATTTCAAACTAGAAGTTGATGTCAGGGTCCAGAGAGAAAGTTGCAGAGGTTTGGGAAATGGGAGAGTTTGCTGTTTTACCACTGTAAGGTGGTAAAGTTAGAAACCCCACTTCTTAAATAGGAGTTCAAGTTGAAAACCTCACTTTTTAAAATAGGAGGACCAACAATACCTTTATAAAGATCCTAAGCTTTAACAGATATTTTATGCCCCATCCCCTGCCTTATGTAATTGACAATAAAAGCAATACAAAACTGTAAAATATGTGTAACAAAGTCCAATAAATTCCCCCCCCCTCATACCTTCAGTCCTAACTTGAAGTAACAAATTCTTAGAATTTGGGGATACCATCCCTGATTGGCTTGATGGTACCCTAAGAATGAGTTAGTCTGCCTGTTTGTAGAAAATCCAATAGTTTATTCAAGGTGTGGGTAAATTATACTCTAAGTGTTGCATCATACATCACAGTAATTCCAACATTTTGACTAAGCCCAGGAGCATACTGTAAAACAAGACAGTCTTTTAAAACCACACACACAGAGCCAGGCCGTATTGCAGCATCAACCTCCCCATCCCAGATGAGCCTTCGTACTTGCTGTCACTGCTGAGTGAGGGCATTTCGAGACCAACAGTGTCCACTAGGAATAACACGGGCTGCCCCTTCGACCTAGATGGACCAGAAGGAACACTTGCAGGCCCTTGCTGGTCTGTAACCTGACTGGTTAGGAAGGAAATCTCTTTAATTAAACAGATTGCAGCAATGGACGTGGAATGTTTGCCAGTGCTTTTAATGTCTAGACTGAAGCACACCCCGACAGAGTGTAAACCAGGCTACTTTCCCCTTTACACGCTGAGCCTGAAGTTCCTGTTGTGGGCAGCTATTTCATCAAGGCAGATTGACTCTGATCAGGGATACTGGGTTTAGGCTTCTTAAAGGGAACTGCTGCTCCTCTCCACTCCTGTTCAGGAGTTCTTTCATCTTGTCACCCAAGAATCCAGATGAGTCCGCCTATCGGGCAATGTCCTGATTCTACCTGGGTAACTCAAGCCATGTGATGCCTCAGTCCTCAGGTGAAGAGTAAGAAATACCACATGAACAGGTGCCTGTACCCAGCAGTGACCCACCATCACACTCCTTCAGGTGGTTATTCTCTCTTTTACAGATCAGGCAGGCTTAGAGAAGTTAGTGACCTGCCCATGGTTGCACAGTAACTAGAGGTTAAGAAGCAGAGAAACACAGGACCGACTTCAGAGTTCTTGTTCAATCAGATGCCATTCTCTCAGCCCATAGACATCACAGAACACTTGGTGCTACACATTTGTAGAATTACCAGAACGGTACTAGCAGGAGTGAGGGAAAAGTCAAAGGTATTTAGAGAAAAAAAAATCAGAAAGTGCTTACTACAGAGAGAGCCCTGTGGCCCATAAAGTGCTTCCCACCTGCAAAGCCTCAGCAAACCCAGCGAAAGGTAAAGAATCGGAGCCACCAGCTGCTTCCAGAGGTAAGCGACACTGAACTGAAGGATGCTGGTTCAATCTGCATCTTCGGGAAACGCTGACCTGAAGAGCTGGTTGTCCTACAATTGCATCATCAGAACCAACAATAAGTGTGTGGACAGCCTGCATCAAAGTGGTTCTCACCTGACTCACCGGTATGCCAGAGCCACGGTGAGGAGCTAGGCTTTGTGTCCCCTGGGGCCGATGGTGTGTTCCTCAGTAACAACGCGCAGGTCTCGCCTCCATATTTCCTTTCAAGCGGGGAGGTCCATCCCTTTGGTGATAGAACTTCCTAAGAAATCTAACTTTGAGGGAGCTCTGGTGGCCTAGTGGCAAGAAGCTGCACTGCAATCACAGAGGTACGTGGCAGATCCAATTTAACAATACACACAAAATAATAAAAGAAATTTAACTTTATTAAAATAAAAACATGGGAGGCATGTGAAGAAACACCTATGGAATCAAAGCTCATCAAGCAGATCCTAATTCCTCCTCAAAGAGTGTCTGGTCGTAGGTGCTACTAGAATGAAACAGACTGTCAAAAGGCCAAGTCTATCAGGGAGGAAGTACAACCAGGGCTCCTTAGAGGCAAGGATGGTGAAATGGCAAGAAGCCACTGAATTTGGGCCTAGTGTCAGGAACGACCAGTCCTTAGAAAAAGGCATCATGCTGAGAAAAGAGGGTCAGAGGAGGGCCAGCAACAAGAGGGACTGACATGATGACAGAGCCAATAGGCACAAGTGTAGTAGAGCTCAAGGGGACGCAGGACAAGGTCTTGTTCATGAGGTCGCTATGAACCCTAGTTGATCAGTGCACATAACAACAAGGACATTGCAATGTTCAGTTATAACCCAAGTCAGAAGTTAAGAATTGCCGTGTCTGCTAGGAAGCCAAGTGCAGATACTTGTGACCCTAGAAAAGGCTTCCCTCTCCTTCCTATGCTCTGGGAGTTGTCTGGCTGGAGAATGAGGCATGTACGACTTGATTCCACCCACCAGGAGGACGTGTGGGCCCCATCAGCCTGGCTTTCAATCCCAGCTCCACTGCGTGGCTGGCAGTGTGCTGGAGCGAGCTACTTAACGGTTCTCCCCCTCAACCAGGGCAGTAATAATACAGTACAGTACTTGAAAATGAAATTACAATTTTATCTTTGCATGATTGACAGCCCACTTAAGACTAATGAAGCTATTATTGAAAGAGACCAGTGTACAGCTGGGCCTCCAGAGCTGAAAGGGCGGGGGGAAGTGCCTCCCCCGTCTCTCGCACTGGCCACGTGTTGTCTTTTAACTGCACGGGTGTCCCGGGCAGCCTGCCCAGGAGGCTCTGCTGGACGAAAGAACTTTACCCACTCAGCCTTCGAGGGGATTCTTACGGTGTTCAGACCCAATCGTGAAACTGGGGGTTCTAATATGGAGCTGGAGTTGAGAACCATTGTCATCTGGTGACTCCTGTCAGCCCCTAGTGTCACAGAGTGGAACTGCTCCAGAGGGGCTACGTGGCCGAAAAGCCCCCAGAAACAGATGGCCGTTAGGAGTTTTCTGTGTTTCTTCCTTCCGTCGCTGTTTTGAAGTGTTATTAGACTTTGATTTTTAACCTCAGGGTTCCGGAACAATCATCTGTATCTGTTATTTGTGTCTTCCTTCAAAAGAAGGCCTGGGCTGCTGTCTCTCCTGCCCACCATCATTACCTGAGAGTCTGGTTTTAATAAGATCTCATTTAGCACAATAGATGGAAATGATTCTCGTTTCCACATGTTCTTCTCGGTGCCACCAAGTCAGCTCCAGTTCCCCAGTTCATGGCAGGCATGTCTTGAGCCATCCTCACACCCTCCACTCGGTTTAATCCCATCATTTTAGTGGTCACTGTTTCATTTCATCTCATTGAGGGTCTTCCTGTCTTCGGACCTTTGCTGATTAATATAAAACTTCAGAAAAAAAAAAAAAGGACCCAGTCATGCATAATTCATGTTTTCACCACTCTTAGAAAATACACTAGAAAAAGAAACTTTTAAATACTGAAGTCATTGAATCCACCACTGTGTGTCCCCATACCCTTGTAGCCAAACAACTTAAGTTTGAAGCCAGGCATGTGGCCTGGGGTTGCGGTGCTGCCTCACTTCCCATCCCAGCAGAGTGGCATCGGAGGCTCTGGGCCACAGGGAGGGTTTGGTTATTTCACTGGTAACATGTTCCTGACAGTTTTTTTTTATTATTTATTTTTATTATTTGTGTGTGTCTGTGTACCGTCAAATCAGATTTGACTGGTATGGGGGGAGATCGTTCCTCCTTCTCCAGCAAAGCATCTGGTGGGTTTGAACCGCTGTAGGGCTCGCCTAGAGTTTTATCTTTTAAAAGCTAATTAGAAAAACAGTAAAGTACCATCCCGATCCCTGGTCACTGGGATTCTGCATGGAGTACGCACTCTTGTCAAGAGCCCCACCCGCTGCTGTCCAGTGAACTAGGTCTCAGCTACCCTCCATCGGCCAATGGCAGGAGAAAGAGCCAAGGAATCAGAGCTCATCAAGCCCATCATCCTAGTTGCTCTTCCATGGATCCGCTGTTGGGTGGATTCGAACCTCTGGAGACAGGCAGCCTTCTGGTTTGCAGTGGAATACGCCATGGATTCTATTATGCCACCACAGCGCCTCCATGGGGAGAGAGAGTTAACTGGTAGAACCAAAACCCACTAGTGGCCTGCTGCTTAAGGCTTCAAGCAAACTTAATTTTCTGACTCAGGTTGAGAAAGAACTTCACTTGAAGTTTACACAATTAACCTCAACACGGAAGTGTTACTGGAGCTGACAGCTTCCTGGACTTGTGACTTGGGTTTGGTGTCCCCACACCTTCATGTGATTCCAAGACAGCCACACTTGGACATTAACTGAAGGTGCAGCCAGAGAGCTCCTTAGAGGCAAGGAGAGTGAAGCTTCATGTCACATACTATGGCCAGGTTGATAGAAGGGGTAGTCCTTGGAAAGGGACACCATGCTAGGGAAGGTGGAGGGTCATCGAATGAGAGGAAGACCCTCCACGGGGTGGACTGACACAGTGACTGCAGCAACAGGCTCAAGTGTGTGAGATGGTGAGGACGGCACCGGATAGGACGGGGATCAGATCTGTTGTTCACAGGGTCGCTGTGGGTCATACTCGACTCCATGGAACATGGTAACAAAGGTTTCAAAGGAAAAACCTTGAGAGCTTAAAACCTTTAAATGAGATAACATCACTGCAATAGTACTGGAGCTTCTGCTGACACAAATGATAAAACAATCCCGTGACTGAAGTGGGAATCAGCGTTTGAAGGACCTGTACACCATCTCGCAGGAATTCAGACACAGGCAGTTGGCCAAGAACCCAAAGGTAGAAATGACATCTCAGAACTGGGGAGATGAGTGATTAATTTCTCTAGGATTTTTTTTTCTTTTTACAATTTTTCATTCCTCTTGGGACTTAAGCAAGCCAGCTGCCCTATCCAGACAGCTGGGGGAGGCGTCCGAATCGTCGACCTTGGCTACCCTGCCACAGCACCATTGTCAGGTGGAACTGGAAGCAGGTGAGGGTCTGTGGCGCTGGCATTTCTTCCTCTTCTTGGTCACTAAAGGGTCCAGGCTTAGTATCCATGGTGAAAAAAAGATTTTTTCCTACAAGTTGGCACAAATAAGGTAAATTTATTTCCATCACCAATTTCTCCAGACAGTTTTAAAAAGTGCTATAAAGAGAAATGGTAACAACAGATTAGGCTTTGAATATTAAGAGTATTATTCTCTTCTTTAATGAGGTTCCTTAACCCTTAACAAGACGGGTCGACACATGACTGCAGCAATGGGCTCAAGTTTATCAGAGATGATGAGGCTGGCACAGGGTAGGACAGGGTTCAGATATGTTCAGAGGGTCGCTATGAGTAGTTCTCAAGCCGACGGTACTTACCAAGTGTCTTCCTGAATGAGCTGTTAGCCTTGCCTGGTTAGACAGAGAAGATACACAACACAAAACACTCACCACTGTTAACACTGTAGTATACATGGACTGAAGAAGAAAACAGGCCAAAGCCATCAGATGAACAATCTCATGTGTGGGCTGAGGATAAATTCTGGACAGAAAGGGTCTATGGGGCCAAAATGAGCTACCGTTCAGGCTTGCTGGACCCACTGAGGCCCGTCGGAGAGAAAAGTTGACTTGGAAGGGCGAGGACTCCAGAGGTGGCCCAGCAACGGCCCTCCCTCCTGTACATTTCTAGGGAGCAGAATTTAAGACTAGCCAATGTGGCTGTCCACTGCTGCCACGTTTACAATACACCATCAGAGTGTCAGTGGTAAAAGGGATCCATACAAGATCCTGATCATCCCATCCGCTTTTTAAGTCTTTACAAAAACCATCCCTGGAAGTTGAACTCTCACCACAGCAGGGAATCAATCGGTACAGAGCCCCAGGAACATATACGTATGTGTATTCTTTAAAGGCAGGGCCCAATGGTGACACAGCTGTGTCAGAAAGGCCCATGTGTAAACCAGAAAACAGGATGCAACTGCTTGCATCAAAAGAGTTACTTTTCGGATAGAAAATAGATGTCAAACACCATTCAGTAACTAGATCAAACCCCCAAACCTCAGCTGTCAAGCGGGCTCAGACAGGACCTCACTGCATCTCAGTTTACAGATGGGCAGATTGAGGCCCACAGAGGCCCGTGCCTGGTCCAGGTCTCTAATTCCTAGGCCAGAATTCATTTAGCCACATTGGCCTTGAGTCCATTATGTACTTCAGGGAACCTGCATGGTTCTATGGAAAACCAGGGCTAAGGCTTTGGAGAATTCAAGCTTCTATGGTGAGATTCAACCTGTGAATCCCAGAGGTGTTTTGAAGTCTCTGGCTCCTGAATGTGACCAAGAAGTGCTGTTGGAGGCTTGCAGGATGCAATTAAGGTGCTTTCCAACCCGTACATGGGCAGCCGGGGCCTAGACCTCAAGCCTGAAGCTTCCTGTTGAGCAACAGAGATCCGTAGTTTGGGCTCGCATGATGGACACAAACTCCCAGCATCCCATGCGTGGCCATTCTGCCCCAGGAAAAAGACTTGACGATCTTCTTGTGTGACAATCACAGCATAGAAAACCCTATGAGGCAATCCTGCTGTCACCTGATTTCAATGTTGAAAGTGAGTTAACAAGCACCTCACGTCCAGGGCTCCCGTCTCACAGAGTCAAAGGCGTGGCCAGACGGCTTCACGGAAGTGTGCTGATAGACTGTGTCCTCCCACCAAGCGGCATCAAAATGACTCTGCTCCTCATTTTTCTTGCTTCACTCTGCTCCTCATTTTCCTTGCTTCAAGATGCATCAAAATCTGAGATCACTTCCACATTAAGGGTCGCACACTTGGGAATTGCCACATGGTGCCACTGTGCAAGCCCTTCATGGATTCATTCAAGTGTCCAAGGGCTCACCCCACGGCTTGCCCCCATGCTTCAACAGGCTGCGGTTTTACTGTAAGAGGCAAGACTGAGTCTATGGTACATTCTTGTCTCCTTCTGCCTTTCCAAAGGAGAAAGGGAAGGTCGCGTGTGATGCACAAAGGGGACAGGCCATGGGACGCTCTGGCTAGCAGGAGTACAGCTGTGACTTCACAGGGGACGGGCCACCGGGCACTCCAGCTAGTAGCAAGAGTATAGCTGTGACTTCACAGCCCGCAAGGAGTCATCGCACTGTGCGTCCGAGGGCAGCCCCTCGGGCAACGGCACCTCGCCCAGGATGCTGTCGCAGGCAGGGACGGGCTGGCAGAACTCCCTCACAAAGTCCTCCTCGGAGGCCAGCAGCACCTCACTCCAGGTGGTCATGTCCAGCTCCCCGCCGGTGCCCCCATACTCCTTGGGGAGAATGCTTCTTGGGAGGCTTGTGTGGAGTGAGTTCAGGTCAGACCCATGGAGGAAGAACTAAGGGGGGGGAGAATAAAAACACACACGGCCTTTGGTTAATCTGAGGTACACGAAGTACTCTCCTCATGGGAGATGCTCAAACGAGTGTTCCTGAATGCATCAAGGGGCAGCCCCACCCTTCTTTTCCAGTTCCACAGCCCAAAAAGCTTCTGCTGGTGGTGGCGACAGAATGAGCCCTTGACTGTGACTCACAGCAACCCTACAGGACAGGACAGAACTGCACCCTAGGGTCTCCTAGCTCTTAATTTTTGATAATAATTTTTCTAATTTTTATTTATCTTTTTTTTAAAAAAGATTATTTTCTTGTGTGTGTACCGTCAAATCAGATCTGGCTGGTACAGGAGGAGATTGTCCCTCCTTCTCCAGCAGAGCATCTGGTGGATTCGAACCGCTCACCTCTGAGATTGCAGTGCAGCTTCTTGCCACTAGGCCACCAGAGCTCTTCATTTTTCTAATTTGGAGCAGTGAGCACATTGATTCTTTTCCTGGGTTTCTGGAAATCTTTTTTTTTTTTTTTAAATTGTGGTTTTAACCAAAGTTTACAGAAAATCTGGATTTTCATTCCTTCATTGTTGCACAGTTCCCTCCCTCTCCCTCCTTCCCCTCACCCTTTGCACTGAACAGACGCAGCCTTACTAGGTCACATACCACATTCCTTGTCTGTCTGTCTGTCTGAGGTAAGCTTCCTGGGGGCTGGAATTCTTATCTGTTTTCTTTATCCAGTTGCACATAGTAGTTGATTGACAAATACGTTTGAGTAAATGAATGAATATGCAAAAGAACAAATGAAGAAAACCATGGGCCACAAATACTAGAGTATCCCACAGATCTGAAAACCGAGTCCAAGGACTACTTTAAGAAAAGCAGATTCCACACAGGATGCTCAGGAACATGGGCTGACATCCAGGCACGGAGGCCAGGAGGTGAGTGGTTCTCAAACCCAGCTGTGCACCAGAATCACCAAGGAGATTTGAAAACACAGACTTCTGGGACTTGCCCTGAGGTGATGAATCCAAGTCTTCAGGAGACAGATCTGGGATCTGGATTTTTGACAAGCTACCCAGAGACGTCTGTTTCATATATTTTGGGCACGTGACCAAGAGGGACCAGTCGTTGGAGAAGGACATCATGTTTTGGAAGATGAAGGGACAGCACAGGAGAGGAAGATCCTGGATGACACGGATTGACACAGTAACTGGGGGAATGGGGAGGTAGGTATGTCCAAGACTGTGAGACAGGCTCAGGGTAGGGCAGGCTTCAGAGCTCTTGTGCTTAGGGTCGCTATGAGTATCAAGTGACTTGAGAGCACATAGCAACAACAACAAACAACCACCCATAGATGTCAGACTCCATCTAGGAACCATTATGCTTTGTTCCCTCCACAGCAACCCTGATGGCTTCATTTGTGACATCGCACTATGTAGCTTATTAGTTTTGCTTCTCTCATTTTCTTCCATGATTTTGACCTTTCAGAGTCTGGACTATGAACTTGCTCTTTGATATAGTATTAAATTAGTCTTCAGGGCAAGCCCACAGAGGGAAGATAAAACTCTCACCCTCCACATTTTAATCAGCTTTGCTGGAAAGGATTAACAGAGAAGTGGCTGCTCTGATCCGAGAGCAAGATGGTCTTCGAGAGCGTCACCTCTCTTTGCTTAAATGAGAGCTGTGCTCAAAGCTCACATGTCCCATAAATGCAGAATTTCTCTCCAGATTTTATACAGTGAGTTAGTGGTTTTAAACGCCGAGGTGCGTGGTGCTATGTACGAAATCACTGTAACTCTTCTTAACTCTGTCAGGTGCCTACTGTCCCCGCGTGGTGCTATGTACGAAATCACTGTAACTCTTCTTAACTCTGTCAGGTGCCTACTGTCCCCGCGTGGTGCTATGTACGAAATCACTGTAACTCTTCTTAACTCTGTCAGGTGCCTACTGTCCCCCACTCCCTTCCCTTTCCATGTCCTCCTCCACATAAAACCAACTGTGCTGCAAGAGGCCCGAGCCAGGAGACTGGGCAGCCCACCTGCTTACAGAACAAGAATCACTGAGCAAATGAGGAGAGCAAAGGTAATAAACCAAGGTTAAGTAATAAGACATCACGAGTTAAATAAATCACGGGGACCCCAAATCCTTTAAGAAACCCAAACCAGAAACACCTCAAGGCTTCTGTGGTCGGCAGGGTCCTCACTTACTCTGTTGGCTATTTTCTCCTTCAGAAACGGTTTTATGATGGCGAAAATGCCTTTGAAGATCCGAGGCTCATTTACCACATGGACGGCTTTTATCCGAATGGGGAAACCATCCTGTGAGGGAAAGGAAAGGGCTGTTAGATCACCCAGAGTCTCTGCAAACCAGCCATGCCATTCCATTCCTTCTTCAGCATGAGGCCCTAGGCTTAGCCTTAAGTATCTGTGCTGCCAACTCAAAGGTAGGTAGTTTGAATCCACTAGCTGTTTCTTGGGGAGAAAGACAATGTCCTCCTTCTCCCCCCGCCCCCTGCCAATTTTATTATTATTTTGTGCGTGTATACTGTCGAATCAGATCCGACTGATACAGGAGGAGACTGTCCCTCCTTCAGCAGAACATCTGGTGGATTCAAACTGAGCGCCTTGGGGATTGGAGCACAGCTTCTTACCACTAGGCCATCAGCGCTCCCAACAATGTCCTCCTTAACGGCACCAGGGGTGCTAAACGGATAGGGTCTTGAAAAAGCCACCACCCCCCTGGAATGAATGGACACACAACAGAAAACAGGTCCTACCTGGAGGATGCCAATCACCTTTTTGGCTATAAAAGGGCCAAAATGAGATGCCTTTGATAAGCTCACTCCTTTGTAGTCTGCGAGGATTACAATTCCATTCACCTGCGTTTCCTCAGCCTGGATGAGCTTTTCCAGTGTCAGGTATATGGCTCGGATGTTCTCGGTAATTGGATAACTGCTCGGGACCCATCTGTCTACGGTCAGCAAGAGATGGTCGGCAGGTTACGGAAAGAAATGCAAACAAGCGGTGAGCTCTGGTGGCCTACTGTCAAGAAGCTGCACTGTAGTCCCAGAGATGTGAGGTTCAAATCCACCAGATGCTCTGCTGAAGAAGGAGGGACAATCTCCTCCTGTACCAGTCAGATCTGATTTGACGGTACACACATTAAAAAAAAAAAGGCATTAAAATTTTAAAAAAAAATAGAAATGCAAACAAGCGATCAAAGAAGCTAAAGTAGATCTTCTAAAATGGCTGTTTAAATTGGAAAAGAGATTTTTAGTGGCCCCGATTCCTGTGCACGGGGCTACTAAGGGTTGGAACCAGTAACGTGCCTTAACGTTAAACTTCAGTATATTCTGAAATGGAAATGAATGCTGAGGCTACTTAAAGGATAAGCCCTGCAGTCAGGCACACTGGATTTGAATTTTAGAAGCTGTGTGACCTCTGAGCTCCTTAGAAGCAGCAGCTGTTATTATGAGCCGTCAAGTAGGAACCAACCCACAGCTGACCCTCCAGTGGGTTTTCAGAGGCAGTAAATCACATGGAGAATTCCTGTCTTTCCCCCGCAGAGCAGCTAGATTCAAACTGTGTGCGTCTGCACTGGCAGTGCAATTCCTTACCTCTAAGCCACCAGAGCTCCCCGCCTTCTGAGTAGAGTGGGATCGGGTTCTCTGCCTCAGCAGACACGCACACTGGCTGGCAGCAGATCGGTCCTTTTATTCTCACCATCACCCTGATTCTCTTGATCCGAGTAGAAGTGAGCTGACTCCTGGCCATCGGGGGTCATTGTATTCTCCTGCCTGGTCAGGTCAAGCAGAGCCAATGAGACTCAACGCTGGGACCTGGGCCTTTTGAAAAGAGCTCTCTCTCTTTCCGCTTGCAATGCTGAGGTTGTGGGCCTAATACTCAGGGGTTCTAAGCGGCCAGGGCCAGCCTGCGAATGAATCTATGCTGAAACAGCAGATACGGAGATATCTTCCCAACATCACGGGCAGCCCCTGGATCTTGCTCCATTTACTTTTTTCAGTCTGCTGAGCAAATGTCTCTTTTTTTTGTTTCAGTCAATCTGAACTGGCTTTCTATCGCTTGCCACTCAAAGACTGAGTCTTAACTCACACACGACCCTCAGGGCTCTTGGGAATGCTGATCTTTAGGAGAGTCTCCATCACCTTCCTCTCCTGGGGCTGGAAGCTCCTTTCATCTCATCTTCTACTATTGCTGTTGTTGCTGTGTGTTGTCAAATTGGAACCTACCCTAGCTGACTCTCCAGCAAGGGAGGAGACTGCCCATCCTTCTCCCACTCTTCTAATATATTCACCCATAAATTTCTCCTAGTATTCTTTAATATTTCTCCTAGACAGCTTTTGATTATTAACTGCTACTCCAAAAAGATTCTCACCAAAATCTATAGACCAATCTCTCTTTAGAAAGAGGGAAACTAACACATGATCGACATCAATGGAAGATGTTAACATGTGAAAACTTTCTAGAGAAAAACTCTTACTCCTCAAATGGACCCAGCTTGCTGTTTAATACTGCTGCTGATTAAACTTGCCTCTACATAGCTGGGGGAGCTCTGGTGGTCTAGTGTTAAAAGCTGCACTATAATCCCAAAGGCACGTAGTTCAAATCCACCAGCTGCTCCATGGGAGAAGGCTGGGCAATCTCCTCCTGTGCGTGTGATTAACTGCCTCGGAAAACCTACTGGAGGGTCAGCACATAGCAACAACTACATAGCTGGGCTTCATCGTCTCCAATTACCTATGTTCTAGAAGAGTACAGAAGGTAAAACTGATGCCCGGATGAGAGCAAAGCTCTTTATGCGTGTTTCTGCTTAAAAAAATTGGGCTGATAGGAAGGGATCATGATCTGATCCAGATACCTGAAGAAAAAGACATCTTACTAAAGAGTTTAAACCACACAAGCAAAATGCAGAACCCAGGATGGCAAGATTTGACTGTTTGGTAATATTCCTGTGTTGTATTACAGAAGAAAAGCATAAAAGGCCGTTAGCTAGTTTCTAGATCTTCTAGTGTCCTTAAATTTCCAGGGTGTTGCTTATTTCAAAAGACATTCCTACGTGAGAAGTGCTTAGAAGAGCAGGTAAAGCCGTGAGCATTGTGCCTGACGCACAGGAAGGGCTCCAGAGAATGGCTTCCTTTCCAAAGAGGGCTGGCAGTGACGAGGGACTTAACGACAAAGGGAGGTGCACCGAGACTCCAATTCCCATCGGACTTTCCCTCAAGAGGGGTTTGGACACATGCACACACAGTGCGGCCTCATGTTCTTGCTTTGGGTGGCAAGAGCTGTTTTACTTTCTCACAGTCATCCCCCGACTCTGGTGTGATGGACAGTGGTGCACCTGGAAATGGAGTGGAGAACACCTTTGTGTGTGTGATAACATCAGGTACTGGGAATGAAAATAGGATTAAGAACTAGAAAGCCTGAGCCCCAGCAGCCCCTAATCACCAAGCCAATCAATGCATGTTCCCACACAATTCTAAATGCTCTTTGGAAAGAGGGGATGGGTAGGGAGTGGTCCCCCAGCTGAAAACTGCATTGTCAAAGAAACGCAGGGTATCCTGATCATTAAGACCTGTGAATAAGTGAATCCTTTGAGTATTCCTCAGCTGAACTGATTCTCTCCTAGAATCTGGAACTTGGATTGAAAGAACTTTGTTAGGGAGGAATGAATTTATCTAGAAGCACAAAAGCTAGCGGCAGGGGAGAGCTGAGAAGATCTAGAAAGGGCTGCAGGATGTGTGGCCTGGAGAGACACATAGATGGACAGTCAATCAGAAATGTGGCCGTCCTCGCTCCTGAGGGAATTCTGACTCTCACTTCCAGGGCCCAGTGAAGTCTGTTGCACTTTTAGCTCTTTGGTCTTTTTCCTTAAGGGGTTTGAGTAGATTTTTATCATTTGCAATGAGAAGAGCCTAGACTGAAATGAGTCGTAAGGAAGCAGGAATGGGAAAAGGGATACAGAACAGACACTTTCTGATATGAGCTGATTTGTGTTCTACATAAAAAATTAAGTCCTAACCCCTGTTAATACGACCTGATTTGGAAGTAGGGTCTTTGTAAATATAATTGTGGTTATGACCCTCCAGCGGGTTTTCAGAGGTCATAAAACACACAGGAGGAGACTGTCCATTGTTCTCCTGTGGAGCTGCAGCGCTTGACCCCCCAGGCCACCAGCACCCCCAGCAAATATAATTAGGTTAATACAAGGGGTAGTATCCTCCTAACATGAATAGCAACCTACTAAGAGATGCAGTCAGAGAGCTACCAAGGGAAGAAAGCCAGGTGACAGACAATAGGAGTAGAGACTAGAGCGACGTATCTATAAACCAAGGAATGAACACCAAGGATTGTGGGAAAACACTAGAAACTGGGATAGAGACATAGAAAAGGCATTCCTTGCATATCTATGTTTATCACAGCTTTGTTCATAATAGCAAAGAGTTGGAAACAACCTAAGTGCCCATCAACAAACGAATGGATAGAGCAGCTCTGGTATATTCACACAATGGAATACTACGCTACATTGAAAAACAAGGAACTCATGAAATATTATACAAAATGGGTGACTCTGGAGGACATAATGCTGAGTGACATATCTCAGACACAAAAGTACAAATACTGCATAGTGCCACTGTTGTAAAATGGGACTTACATAGGGACTGAGGGAGTAGACGAAGAGAGATGGGATAAATAATGTATACTGCATTGAAAAAGATGAGGGAGAGAACTGTTTAAAAGGGATATATGATTAGGTATTATTGTCATGACAGGAGTCCAGAATGAAGGCTGCATAGTGGAGTGGACCTGGGGGGAGGGGTTGTATAACAATGTATGAATTTTACTTTTCAAAGAACAGAACAAACTGGAGGGGAGGAGTGGGAAAGGAGAAAAGTGCAACAACGAATGAATGGAAATCCAAAATCTCTGCAAATTTTCATTAAAATTAATAATGATAATAATAAAAAGAAAAGGCATTCCCGGCTGCAGGAGGCGTCAATCGTAGTGATGCTCTGATTCCTGACCCGGCCTCCAGAGCTTCGGGAAGGCACGTCTGTGGTTTGACACCACTGGGCTTGCGGGACTGCATCAGGGTAGCCCTGCCAGATGAACACACATCCCAACAGAGACCACGCACTCGTGCCCTGCCAGGGTCTCGGACACTACCTGGGCGGAGGCAGAGGATGTGGCAGCCCCTGGGGTCCGTGGCGGGCAGCACGGTCAGGAAGCCGGAAGCCAGGACATCTCTCACGGCCGAGGGCCTCAGGTTGGTGAAGACTTCAGGCCAGCTCCGCCTGCAGCTGTGGTACTTGATCAGGAGCTGCAGGGCCCGGTCGTAATCGAACTTGCGGGCCCGGAGGAAGCGCAGCAGGAAGGCGTCGTCCAGGGAGGTCCTGAGGTGTGGGCATTCCTTCCGCACCATGTCGCGCAGAGCCTGGACGTCGCGCAGCCGCCACTCCGGCTTCTCCTGCAGCTCCTCCCTGGCCTTGGTGACCAGCTCCTCGGTCAGCGAGCACACATAGCCGGGGGGCTCCGGGGGTGGTGGCAGCTCATTTTCCGAAAGCGAGGCTGCAGACGGGGTGGTTCTCAGCGAGTCGCTTTCCTCTGACATTAGCTACAAGGATCCTGTCAACACAGAAGTCCCCAGGGAAGTTAACAAAGCCCAGCACTGCTCATTTCAAACCCACCCCGGGGTTTCAAGGGCGGAGGGGGTCAGGAGCATTTTGTCAGGTCAGGTGAGCACAGAGCAGCCTGATCTGAAGTCTAGGGAATGAAATGGGCCAGAACCACACACCTACCTCAGGCTGGCTGAGGTGGTGACATCAGACTATACATCGTCCTCATTCACAACTACTATCTTGCTTATAAATGTATGAAGAGGTCCTCAAGCTTACTTAGAATTAAATCACTGTACGTGAAAAATGACACAGATTCAGACAGTCAAAAAAGAAAAACAAGCACTCACAGAGTCTTGGTGAAGGCAGGAGAAAAAATACATTATCTTTGGAGGGTGGTTTCTCAATTGTTGTTAAGTGCCGTCAAGTCATAGGCGACTCATAGCACCCTATGAAAGAAAGACCTGGAACACTTGTATAACTTTCATTCTTTCTCCAGATTCATAGGGTTTCAGGAGGCAAGCTATTTCAGAAGTGGATGCTTCCAAGCTTGTTTTAGTCGGGGAGCTCCACCAAACACTGTCCACCATGGGTGACCATTATTGCATTTGACACATCAGTGTCACAGTGTTCAGCTTCACAGCAACCACGAGTTACCTCTGTACAGTAAGTGGACAGACCAGGGCCTGAGAGCCACTGAGACGAGCTGTCATTGAGATGCCAGCCATCCCACCAGTTAGCAGACCTCCAGTCTCAATATCTATGTAAAACCCAAATAAATGCCCTGAAGCTTTCTTTACGTCAAACAAACAATAAACAAAACAAAAAAATAAACTCATTGTCATTCATGTTGATTCTGACTCATAGATACTATAGGATAGTAGAACAGTCCTCTGTAGGGTTTCTTTCTAAAGCCGTACATCCTGACACAAGCAAACTGTCACTTCGTTCGCCCAGGGAGCAGCCAGTGGGTTTGCACTGCTGATCTTCTGGTTAGCAGGCAAATGTTTAACTACCGCGCCACCAGAGCGCAGAAAACAAACAAGAGTCCAGCTTGTTTAGTAAGCAATGTCTGCCTAGCGCATTGCATCCTTTCAAGAACAATTCAGACAAGATCAAATTGACAAAAGAAACTTGGAAGATAGGAAACTTAGGGGCAGTGTGTTTTGTTAACAGGGAAAGGACAATTCAGAGAGAGGCCAATGCCACTGAATTATACTTGGAGAAACTGTTGAATTGATGTACGTTCTGCTGTATATATTCTCAACGACCACAACAGAAAATGTTATTAGAATTTTCTTAATAAACTATTGTTGTTGTAATTTCGTGCCATCGAGTTGCTTGCGATTCACAGCGACCCTATGTACAACAGCCCTAAACCCAGCTCTATCCCTTGCCAATCTTATTGTCTCTGACACACCTTTCTCCATTACCCCAATGATGGAATCAAACCATTTCATTGAGGGTCTTCCTCTCCCGCACTGTCCCTCCACCCTCCCAAGCATGACGTCCCTCTTCTTGCAACATGTTCAAAGTAGGTCAAACTTCAAAATCCTTGCCTCGAAGGAGCAGCCTGGCTTCACCCTCTGCAGGATGAACTTGTTTGTTCTCCTAGCAGTCCATGGTATATTCAATACTCCTCGCCAGCACCAAAACTCAAAGGCATCAACTCTCCTTCTATCATCCCTAGTCACTGTCCAGCTCTCTGATGCATAACAAGTAATGACAGACCATGGCCTGTATCAGGTGCACCTTAGTCTCCAGACTGACACTATCAAAAAAAAAGAAAAAAAAAGAAACTATTCACTATTTATTACCTAGGTAACAGGACTAGACACCTCTAAGGTAGAGAAGAGACTTAACTTTTTATTATATTGTTTGAATTTTTACTTTTTTACCATGTACACATGTAATTGAATGCAGTTGTCATGAAAGAGGGCTGCTCAGATGGCCTGCTGGGTAAGCAGTATTAAAGAGTGGCTCCAGTTCCTGTTTCCCTGGAGTCACCTGCTGACCTCCGCCCCCTGCTTTGAACCAAGGCCCCACTTTTAAAAGATGCTCCGAGCCAGTGGAAGCTCTCTGGGCCTGGCCAGGCCACTCTGAGAACTCTGCTGCAGTCCCACGCTCTCTCTGACGGAACCTGCTTTGATGGGGTCTGATACACAGATGAAAGGCCCTGCCTTCGCCTGCTCCCCTCCCCTTAGTCCTCCACAGGGGTTTCCTACGTTTCTTGCATGTCTAATCTCACCCTGGGATCTGCTTCTTGGAGAATCTGAATTTACACATTTGTTAGATTAAAACAAAACCAGAAGCAGCAGCTTAGCTGCCCTGGAGATTCTAGAGAAGAGGCTGCTGGAAGTCTGCCCAGGTCCTTCATCTAGGTTCTCGTCCACAGACTGTCACTGAGCCTCCACGCTGAGCTCAAAAAGCAAAGCAGGGGCCACCTCAAAGGTCTCCTCACAGTGATAGGGAATGGCAAAGGATACACTGACAAAGAAGATTAATCAGAACTGGCTTTGACAAGCACTGTGGCATTTGGACAAGAACAAACTGGGAGGAGGGTAGAGAGAATAGTGCAACAGTGAATGAGTGGGAGCCCAAAATCTCTGTAAATGTTTATGAAAATTAATAAAATATAATTATAGGAAAAAAAAAAAAAAAAGGTCTCCTCACATACCTCTGGGGTCCTCACGTCTCCCCAGGCGGCTTCAGCCAGGGTGCCAGGTCACTCCCTCCATGTGAGGCCAGCCCCTCCTCCCCTCAGTGCCACCTCCAGCTCCATTTCTGTCATTTCCTCCCAAGGCTGTGCCGTCCGGTTCCCTCCAACGAGCATGTTCATCCTCTTCTTTAGAGGACTGGATTAATCTTTAAGTCTCCAGTTAGACTTAATTCCAGGTCATACACTCGTTCAACAAATATTGAGCATTTATTATTATGTATAGGGTTCAGAGTTACTGTTTGCTTTGTATTGTAGTCAACTCGATGGCACATAACAACAACAGGCCCTCTTCCAGAAGCTCTGGTGGCTTCGTGGTAAGAAGCTGTGCTGCAATCCAAAAGGAACACGATTCAAATCTACCAGATGCTCCGTGGGAGATGGGCAGTCTCCGCCCACAAGATTTACTGCCTCTGAAAATCCACTGCAGGGTCAGCTATGGGCCAATTCTGACTCAACAGCAAATAACAAGGCCTTCTTCCAAGTACTGGGGCTCCAGGGGCACACCACAAACCAACCAACCAACAAACCAACAACTTGCCAACAATGAGTTTAAATTCTCACTGTGGACACTGACTATCAGAAAAACAAGCTATCTGGTCTGTAAGAAGTTGGTAAGTAAACTTATGAAAACTTACAATCTTAATTGATGACAACCAAAGAAAGAGAACATTCAGCTTTTATTTCTGATTAAAATCTTGGACAAATTAAAAAAGAAGTTTGTAAGTGCTTTGGGTGGAGGAGGGAAGGGGGCTTGGATGTGCCTGGGGCTGGAGGATGCAGGTTTAAGCAGAGTGGTCAGGAATGGCCTCACCAAGAGGACACTTGGGTAGGAGTTTGGAGGACATGAGAGAGCGAACCATGCCGGTATCTGGAGGAATAATGGTAAAGCCTGAGGCAGGGACACACCTGGGTTTATTGTCGGAGGAAAAGCAAGCAGGTGATTGTGGCTGGGGTTGAGCAAGGTAAAGAATGCACAGTGTTCTGAGAGGTATGGGGGCCCCAACAGTACAGGGTCATTTAAAACAACAGAACCTTTACCTTTACACTGAGTGAGCGGGGAGCTATGGACAGTTTTGAGTACAATGAAATGACTGGATTAATGTTTTAAAAGGAGCACTCTGTTTTCCAGAGAATGCGAAAGGATGAGACAGACTATTTAGGAGTTCTTGTGACGATGGCTAGAAGTGGAAGCATTCTCTGGATCCCAGACCAACCTGGGGGCCTCCCACACAGGAGCCTCTATTACTCCTGGCACAGCCCTTCCTCCACTCTGCTGGAGGCAGTTTGAGGGCAACGCCCAAGTCTGTCTTGTTTATCACCTTAAACCCAGCACCTAACATGGTGTCAGATACATACTCTGAATGCTATAAATATTTGCTGAATGAGTTTAACCACCTTGGCTGAGACATAATGAGTTAGTAATAACACAACAATTTAGGGTGACAGGCTCTGTTTTCAGGGAAGTCAGCACACTGCCTGTAATCCCAATCTAGCAACTACCTCACAGACAGACCACAGCATCCATGGAATACACACACACCTGGCCTCAAATCTCCTCTCCAGCCTCATCCCCCAGCCCTCTCCTCCTCAATGTTTGTTTAGTTCCAGCCAAAACAAATGAGTGACTTGTATTCTAGGAATACTTCATGCACTGGCATGCAAATTCTGGGAATTCCCTGTCCTAGTTGCCAACCAGGCAAACCATCACCTCTCAGGACGATTCCTTTTCCCCCCACTGAACTGGTACCTAGGGCTCTTACAGAACTTGGAGCACCGGGTCCTGTGTGTTCACAAGAAACTCCTTAGTCAGCTGCACCATTCACACATCAGATAATTACTGGCCATTCACTGTATGTGTCAGGCACCAGGGAGACTGCAGTGCAAAAAGACTTGCCTTTACAAACCTTACATCGTAAGCCCATTGCTATCGATTCAATTCCCACCCTTGGTGACCCCGTGTGCTATGAAATTGCTCCTTTAGGATTGGCTGTCTCTTTTATGGCAATGGATTGCCAGGCCTTTCATCTGCAGTGCCAACCTCCAATCTTTTGACGAGTCGAGCACAAACTACATCTTCCAGAGTCTGCTTACAATAATCGCTGTTGATGTCCAGCGAGTTGGAACCGACCCATACCTGACCTTCCAGTGGTTTTTCAGTAAATCGCACAGGAGATTTTCCATCCTTCTCCCGTGGATAATGATAATATAGTAATTGTTTTATTATCCTACAATGTTGTTGTGTTGTGCCATCAAGTTGCCTGCGACTCACAGCGACTTGATGTACAATTAGCTCTGAACTGTGCCCTGAGTCAATCTCACTGTCTCCAACATACCTACCTCCATTACCATAGAAAAGAATGAGTTTCAATAGGGAGGTTTGGTGGCCTAGTGGTAAGGAGATGCGCTGCCATCCCAAAGGCACGTGGTTCGAATCTATCAACTCCTCAGAGGGAGAAAGATGGGCAGTCTCCTGCCTTGCAACTAACTGCCTCTGAACACCCGCTGGGGGTCCTGTCTCCACAGCACACAACACGTTCAAGCACTGGCTACGTGTGCGTCCCGGACTGTACTAAGCACTTTACATCTGTTTTCTCCTGTAACCTTCACAGCGTTTGATGACAGCATCACTACTGATCCCATCTTACAATGTAAATTCTGTGATGACGGGGCATTGGCACTGATCGCCCCCGTGACAGTCACATAACCGCGCTCAGCAAACGTCTGTAGAAGAGACGAGGTTAAATGGCATGCCCATCGGTGGGGTGCACACCTAGTGAGGCAGGGCAGGGATGTGCCCACCTCCAGGCTGGCAACACAGCCTCCACACCCCACTTGGAGCTTCAATCTCCGAGGCCCCAGCAGGGTCGAGAGTAGTGGACCACCAGGGCTCAGCGTCTCGAGAGGTGGGCGTATGAATGGGATACAGGCGCCTCTTGTTAGGGGAGCCCAGGAATTCCTGGGGATGGGGACCACAGATGGACAGGTATTTCTCATCAGCCTCTAATTCAGTGGAGCATCTTCCTTCTTCGCCCTCGTCTCAACGCGCAGAGGTCAGAAACCCCACGGACCACTGACAACCTGGCCAGCCCCCACTTCCGGCGGTAACCCCCTCCCCAGGTGTCCCTATTTCCTGGGGTCTCTTTCTCCTCGAGTCCCCTACTTCCGGTTATCCCTCCCTTTCAGGGGGTTCCTTTCCTCGGCCCTTCGGACACGCGGACGGGCTCGCGGGCACTCACCGGCCCGGCTACGGGGCGGAGCGCGGGTCAATCGCCAGCGGGAGCCTCGTCCGGCAGCGCGCACAGAACCTACCCGCACTCCTCGCCCCGCCCATCCCGGCCCGGCCCCTCGCGCCGGAAGTGTCGCATGTGCGGAGGCGGGGTCGCCTGATGGAAATGCGCATGTGCAGTACAGCGCCACCATGCTGGCGCTCTGTCCCCACCTAGCGGCGTCCTGGAGGGATGACAGCGGGGACCCGCTGAGAGCATGAAAGATGAAAGATTGCATCTTCGAGAACCAACCAACTGGTGTTCCCATTCCTTTATCTCATTATTTTTCATGTTTTATGAAAGCCCTTATTTCATGAAAGAGATTCTGGCACCCAACCCAGGTACTCCACCACCGATGTCATCAGAACTGGCTGCTCCATCGGGGGAGATTCTACACCGAGGGACATCTCTCAACCCTTAGCAGAGTGACTTTGGACAAGTCTCCCTCTAGTCCTCCTCTGGCCTCGGTTTCTTCATCTCCAATATTATTCGTCCTCTGCACTCCTGATTCACGAATTGCATGTGCCCCACTTTGGAGGTAATGAAGCACCAGATGGTTTGAAAAGGGCTTTATTAATCTCACTCTCAGCCCGTTAAAACCACCACCTCACCACTCATTTTGTATACCTGCAACTTTGAGACACATCTCCTAAATCAGTTGTTCAAAGAAAAAAGAAACATCTATTTCTAGAGAGACATTCTGGTGGAGTGGAGGATTCAGAGTGAAAACTCCAAATAGCCACTTTCTTTCCCTACCCTAAGGGTAAGAGTGAGTCCCAAGGAGGTGGGAAATGGATCTTCAACAACCTGGAAATCGCCTCCAGGTGTTACATTGGGCGCATATGTGTGTGTGAGTGTCGGCGTGGGGGGCGAGTTACGGAAGCGGGCCTGACCTGTAATCTGGAATTGCAGGTAAAATACAGAATCTCTAGTAACATTTTAATTTCAGATAAACACTTTTAAAAAAAAAGTTTAAGGATACTCCCTGCAGCGTCTGGGACATATTGTTATTAGATGTCCTGGAGTGGATTTTGACTCGTACCAACCCCATATGATAAGAGGTAGAATTGCACGTGAGAGAGGTTTTTAAAATTTTTTATGTCACCAGGTCATTCCTCCGTGGAGCTGCTGGATGGGCACACACAACAAGCTTTTTAGTTAGCAATCCAGAATTTACCAGGTGTACTCTTACCAGGTGTGCTCTCAAGACCTTTGTTTATACAAACTAAAATTTAACTGGGCATTCTCTGTGTGTGTTTACCTATGCAAGAACAAATCATTACAAATGTGGTGGCTTAAAACAACATAAATTTGTTATTTTATACTCCTGGAGCTCAGAAACAGCTCTGGTGATGTAATTGCTAAACACTTGGCTCCTGACTTAAAGGTTGGACGTTCAAAACGACCAGCCACTCACAGGAAAAAGATGTTAGTCTGCTCCCTTCAGGATTACAGCCTTGGGCACCTGTGGGGCAGTTGACTCCGTTCTGTAAGACTTTGAATCAGTGTTAATGATTTGAGTTGCTTATGTTTGTTTGGCAGTCGTAAATCAAAAAACCAAGGCATCAACAGGGTTACGTTTCCTCTGAGGCTTCAGGGGAGAACGAATTTCCTTGAATTTTTCAACTGGAGACCATCTCCTTTCCCGGATCCTTCTCCCAAGTCACTCCAACCTCTTTCTTCTGTTGTTTTATCACCTGTTGCTGACTTTGCCCCTCCTGCTTTCTTCTTGTAAGGACTCCTTCTTGTTGTTTTTCTTTAAATTTTTATTATTGTGTGTGTGTGTGTGCCATCAAATTGGATCTGACAGGTACAGGAGGACATTGTCCCTCCTCCAGGAGAGGATCTTGTGGATTTGAACCATTCACACCTGGGAGTGCAGTGCAGCTTCTTGCCACTAGGGCAAGGGACTCCTTGTAATTATGCTGCTGTTAAGTGTCATCCAGTTGACCATGACACATAGTAGCCCTTGGAACAGTGGACTTGAACCCTGCCCTATCCTGTGCCATCATCATCTGACACACGTGAGCCTGTTGTTGAAGTCACAGTGTCAATCCATCTTGTTAAGGGTGGTCCCCCTCCTTCACAGACCTTTTCAACATGATGTTCTCTTCCAGGTCTGACCCTTCCAACAATATGCCCAAAGTATGTTGGATGAAGTCTCACTGTCCTTGCTTCCAAGGAGCATTCTGGATGCACCTGTGCTCACCCAGGTAATCTCCTCATCTCAAGATTCTTAACATCTCCAATTTGCTTTGTCTTAGAGGCAAGGCTGACTTGGCCTCTAGTTGAGAAAGGAGCTCAGAGAAAAGAAAAAAAAAATTGCCCAAGGTCATGTGGTGACTCAGTGTTTGACTTGGGGATTTGAACTTCTTTCTCCTAGTTTGATCTTTGCCTTGGCCTTCTGCTTTCCTTCCTTGTATGCTCAAAAAAATATACAACAAATAGTTAATTGACTGAAAAGCGACAGATAGTCTTTTCAATAAATAGCTTAAAAATGTGGATGAAATGGGCCTAACTGGTTTGGGTCCTCATGGAGCTTACTACCATGATAAATTCATCTATTGTAAATAATGATTTTTGTTTATATTTCTCTTCCCTCTGGAGTAATAAATTTGATGGAAAAATTTGTAAAAAAAAATCAGACTCTGATTTAAAAAAACACACTCTAAACTTCTTTTTATTTTAATTTTATTTAATTATTTTGTGTGTGTGTACCGTCAAATCAGATCTGACTGGTACAAGAGGAAATTATTCCTCCTCCTCTAGCAGAGAATCTGGTGGATTTGAACTGTGCATCTCTGAGATTGCAGTGCAGCTTCTTGCCACTAGGCCACCAGAGCTCCACTCTGAACTTCTAAGTGTCATGGCTGCTGAGTTGATTCTGACTCATAGTGACCCCGTGTGTTACAGAGTAGAACTGCTTCATATGGGTTTTCTTGGCTGTCATCTTTTATAGAAGGAGATTGCCAGGACTTTCTTTCGAGGCGCTGCTAGGTTCAAACCATGAACCTTTTGCCCCAGGCTCCAGAAAGATTCAATATTGTCTTACATCCTCACCTAGCTGTTAAGCACAAGCTGGTTGCTTCGCTTCCAGGGTCATTTGAGTGGAAGTGACAATTTTCTCTTGTGTTGGCTAGCGGCTCAAACCCACTAGTCACTCCACTGGAGAAAGATGACGCTGTCCGCTCCCGGCCCTAAAGTTTACAGCCTCAGAAACCCCGTGGGAGGCTATGTGTCTCAATCAACTCAACTGCAGGGAGTCTGCTTTGGGTCACCAGCGCCATCTGCTGTTTCTGTGCGTCAACAGGCATTTCAGACTCTTGTATGACTGAGGACGACTTCCCCAGGGTTGCTGGTTTATATCTCATCCGCTCTGGTGGCCTAGTGGCAAGAAGTTGTGCTCCAGACTACAGGCACCTGGTTCGAGGCCAGGAGCTGCGCCACAGGAGAAGGAGAAGGATGTAATCTCCTCCCGTACCTCTGAACACCCACTGGAAGGTCAGCTATGGATCAGTTCTGACTCTACAGAACGCAACGACTTCATTGTGATTTTAAGGAAAGTTAACCGAAAAGTTTGTTTTTAATTCATTCATTGTTGTACATTTTCCTCCCTCCCCTTCTTTCCCCCTTCCTCAATTAACTTTTTTATTTATTTGTCATTTTTTTGCACCTTTCCCTCTCTCCCGCCCCTCTGCCACTCTCCCAGCCCACCCAGTAATGTACCTCTTGCTCCAGACCGTTGTCTGGGCTATATCTTTATGGAAGCACATCACTAGGGCTTTTATCTCATGGAGCTACTGGTGGTTCAAACCACTGACCTTTCAGTTAGCAGTTCAACGTTTAACCAAGGTTACTTCTTCATCTGGTTTGTGAAGAAAGCAATTTGGGAATTTAGTGAGCCATGTGAAACCTATGCTTGGACCAGGAGGCAGTTGTTAGAAAAGAGCAGGGAACACTGCATGGTTCAAAATCAGGAAACGTTTATGCCAGGGATGCCACCTCTCTCCATACCTTTTCAATCTATATGCAGAACAGATCATCCGGGAGGCTGGGCTCTATGAGGAGGAATGTGGCATCAGGATTGGAGGAACACTCATCAACAACAACCTGTGTTATACAGATTTCACAACTTTGCATGCTGAAACTTAAGGAGAACCTGAGAGGTTTGCTGCGGAAGGTCAAGGACTGTCTTCAATATAAATTGAAGCTCAACATCAAGAAAAAATTCTCAGCACTGGGCCAATTGGCAGCATTGTGTTAGATGGAGAAGAGATTGAGATTGTTAACACTTTCCGCATGTTTGGTTCCACAATCAACACTCTTGGCACCAGCAGTCAGGAAATCAAAAGACAAATTGCACTGGGAAAATCAGAGACCTCTCCAGAATGCTGAAGAGCAAAGATGTCAGTCTAGAGACTAAGGTGCACCTGATCCAAGCCATGGTCTTTGCAATTACTTGCTGTGCATCAGAGAGCTGGAAAATGACTGCGGATGACAGCTTCATCTCTGATGGAGCAATCTGCTTCTGTAAAGATTTACCGTCTCAGAAACCTCAGGTCACTTCTCCTCTGTCCTCTTGCTAAGAATCAAGATCTAATGGATGGAACGGGGTTTAATACTTAGTTTCTTATATTAATAAATATCTGCACCAGTTGTTGTTGTTGTTAGGTGCCATCGAGTTGAGTCATGAACAACAGATCTGAACCCTGCTCTATCGTGTGCCGTCGTCACCATCTCTGACACAGTCGAACCCATTGCTGCCATCACTGTGGTCAGTCCACCTGGTTGCAAGTCTTCCTTTCCTTCGCCATCCCTCCACCTTTCCAAGCATGATGTCCTCCGAAGAATATCCTCTCCTAGTAACATGCCCGGAGTTATCACTAGGCCACCAGTTTCCATCTAGTGGTGGAAATGGGTTTAACCATCGGTTTCTTCTAGGCAGTTCTGGAGCTCTGGTGGCGTAGTGCCAAGAAGCTGCGCTGCAATCCTGAAGGCACACAGTTCGAGGCCACCAGCTGCTCCACGGGAGAAAG